ATTATTAATCCAGGCATTTGTATGTGGGTGGAAGCTTGTAAAGACTGAGTCATAGGAATTGTATTTTCAGAAAGTTTGGGGTGTGAGTACAAGAAGGACAGAAGGGGAATGACTTCTTCACTCTTCTGGTTTGTGAGAGTCAATTGCCTCCCCATCTAGAATGCCTACTCCCTCTGCCCATAGGAATTTTAACCTTCTTTTGAAATTCATTCTGTATGTTAGCTACTTTAAGGTTTCTTGATATCTCTGAGTCACTGCTATTACTTACAACTACCTCCAGTTCATAGCAAGCACATTTCCTCCATTATTTATGCCTTCAAAGAGTTTTCTGTAGCTCTTTATAGCATTTATCAAATTATATTATGTTTATGTACCTTTCTGTCATCTCTACTTTCGTGATGGCTTGGAAATGACTTATTTATCGCAAGAGAGCTCAGCAAATGTTTGTTGAATGAATGCGTTTACTAGGTACAAACTATGTCATTTGTGTATTTAGGGGGATCCACAAATGAATGAAAATCATCTTTTTCTTCAAGGAAAATGGATGGGGGGAGAATATATATGTGTGTGTGTGTGTGTGTGTGTGTGTGTGTGTACACGCACATATATATTTTTCAAATATATATCCTGTTTCCTATTTCTGAAATTTGCTTGGTTTAATGTAAACTAAATCATTGTATACTTATATGTATATATATGGATTAAAAAACACTAAAACTATTTCATTTAGTGGGAATGGAGAAGGTTTCTAGTTTTTATTTAAATGATATCTGAAAGTTTTACAAGTCTCTGTAATTCTGTTGTAACAACAGAGCTTAATTCTATTTATAAAATTGTTTTCTTCTTTTGGCTATGGAACTTTCACTGTTTTTTGACTTTATTGACCAGTGTTTCTTCATTTCTTTTTCAATTAATGAATATCTATTGAAGTCTCATTACATGCTACATCCAGTGCATATAGAATTGTGTGGAAGGTACAGAGATTAGTCCCACAAGGTCCCTGCCCTGAAGAGTTTGCAACTGGTCACGGAGACAGCTGTCTATTTGCGTTGAAGGATAAAATGTGTTTCTTTCTGTTGATGCTCTTCAAAAGCAAGGAGGTGGAGTTGCATGATTAGTTTTCAAAACAGTCTTAGCTACCATGCCTTAATTTTGGGGAAAATGTTTGGGGTCAGAGGGAGGAGGCTTACAGGACCATTGAAGTTTGGATGGGAATGGAGAGGAATGATGGAATGGCTCTAATGGCAAGATCGGCTTGAAATTTGAGTGAGTGAAAGTGAACATGGGAGGGAAGAAGTCTGAGAAGTGGGAGGGTAGGCATTCAGGGTCCAATGATACAGCTTAAGTGTGCCTGCAGGGAAAGGTGGTGAGATGAATTGATGCTGTTTATCCTCCTATACTGCTTATACTGTTTACTTCAAAGTAGAGTAGATTAGGGAAGGAGAAAAGATCCAGGCTCTGAATTTGGCCTGGCTGTGAAATGTTTTCTGTAATTCCCAGTCTGGTTACTGATTTACAAAGGTGGCTGGATGTGTGGTTGTTTTCCAGCTTGTGTTAAGAGTCATGATGCAGAGTGTACAGAGGCACATCTAGAAAGGAACTAGAGTGGATGCAGAAGAAACTGGAGTGAATACATAATACTTGGCATAAATGAGATCATGCATTTGGAAGTTCTCAGTAAACTCTGAAATGCTAACTCGGTGTATTGACAATACAATTCTGTGTATGAGTGTGTGCACTTCCTTTAGTCATTGAAGATCTTCTAGATTCTCTTCTCACTCAAACCCTAACCCATATGCGCTGTAAGAAGATTTAGGATCAAATAACAATGATACTTCATTCTTGCTGGTTAAATACTAAGAAGTCACTGAGAAGAGTCATTGTTATGGTAACCAGTAATTCATAAACTCCTTGCACCTGCTATGATATGGCAACTATGTCTTTATGTTTATGGTTTAGCAGCATATGCTATTGATGGAATTAAAGATGTGGATTTAAAAAGAAAAAGTTTGTGTTGTAGAATTTTAAAATGCAGTGTGTAAAAAATTACAAAAAACAAAAGAAATACAGAAAACCCAGGGTGCCTGGGTGGCTCAGTCAGTTGAGTGTCTGACTTTGGCTCAGGTCATGATCTCACAGCTCCTGATTTGGAGCCCTGCATTGGGCTCTGTGCTGACAGCTCAGAGCCTGGAGCCTGCTTCGGATAAATAAACATTAAAAAAATGTAAAAAAAAAAAAAAAAAAAAGAAATACATAAACCCATGATCCTGCCACCCAAATTTAGTAGATGTTAATATTTGCCTTATTTGCTTTAGTCTTCTCTGTTTTGTTTGTAAATCAATAGAACATCTGATATAGCAAAGGCACTCCTGCTCTTTGACTCTCTTTGTAGATGAGCACGATTCAATTCTAAATTCAGTTTGTGTCAGTGCTGTATATTAAAAACATATTTTTATTACAGGTGTATGCATCCATAAACATTATGTTTTAATGTTGCACTGACTAAAACAAAAATATAAAATTATTGCAGTTCTTCACATGATTATCCACATGGAAACCTGCAATAATTTTATAATCTTTTATTCAGTATGACCTTAAACATGTATAAAATATATTGTTTGGCATAACTTTCTGCCTTGGTAACATAAATTGAAGTGGCTTTTAAGTTTTTTTGACCATAATCTGCAGGATGTTGTATGTTTTACAGTGTGACCTAATACATATATACAGCTGTGTGTGTGTGTATGTGTGTGTGTGTGTGTGTACACGTATGTGTGAGTTTTGTGTGAGTAAAACTGAAAAAGTTTCTCCATTCCATGGTTTCCTCGACTGTGTGTTTTACTCTGTTTTCTAGCCTATTCATTTCTAGACTTAGTAAATTGATTTTATGACCTAATAATAGGTTGCCATCCATGATATAACAAATATTAATCTCAACAATTAATCTAACCTTATTTAAAGTTAATACGGGACATTAGTATACAGACATAAGCCTTTGCAGTATAATGAAAGTGCTTCAAATAATAAAACAACCTAATAAAATAGCATTCTTCTGCACAAGATTTGATTACATTCATTTTGTCTAATTCATTCTGAATGTTTTCTGTTAATTAAATCCATACATATCTTAGCCATTTGATCAATTAATATTAATTCACTAGGCATGTTAGGGAGTGCATGTTAGTCAGTATAGAATATCTCCTTTCAGTCTGTTGTGACCTCTTGGTTTGCCTGGAATCCCGGAGGGCTGTCATGGTGTCAGGAAAGGAAAGAGCTCTTGCTGGCTCAGATACTGACTTATAACCTTGTCACCAACAAACTGTATATAGCCTTGATAACTCTTTTCTTCCGTCTGGCCCTCATTTTCCTCACCTATTAATCAAATGAGTTAATTAGCTCATCTTGAAAGCACTTTCATTCTGTGAAACATAGGGTAGCTAGGACCTGGGCCACAAAGTTGTTAGAATTTGCTGAGAATATATCAGATGTAAAAGAACAGGACTTTCTCCTGGAATTACAAGTTTTGCAGTTGCAGGAAGTAAGCAGGCCATATGTTGTTTAAATGGTTCTTGGGCAGAAATGATTCCCCAATTGTAAAACCATTTCAGAGTAAGCTTAATGTCTCTAAGATCTACCTACTTTTTTATTGTTATTTCTCAGGGACAGGGCTGGCTATGTCAGTGTATATGTATGTGAGCATATATAAGTGCTAAGAATGGCAAAGGATTGTTTCTTTATTCCACTTCAGTTAAATGTCTTCATAGGCAAATTCAAAGCTGCAGAAAGAAATCTATAAACTCTGGTAACTTTACGGGACAGTTTCATGAGTCCTACATGTTGTAGTCGTTTGTGGCTTTAGGGAATTTTCCTTTTTCATGTGAGTTACATGTTTGAAATAGAGTAAGAACATATCACCTAAATTACATGTCCTTCATACAAACAAAAGGCACGTTTCATGATAAGAGTTCTTTATAAGTATTGTTTTGTGTATGTTTGTTTTAAGAAACAGGAGTTTAAATTGCAGTTTGGGGTGGACCTTGGAGACCATCTCTTCCCATTTGCTCCTAAAAAGATAGGCCAGAGAACGTTCTTGCCTGAATCTCCAAATCGAGGTGACAGTAGGGGCAGGTTCCTGTATCCTCTAAGCTTCCCATATCCTTTTGGTATGCAAATTCTTTTTAGGAAGCTCTACATTTACCAAGACCTAGGGGAGCTAGTTCTAACTCCTGTCTGAGGGTGTGGTCCCATTAAAGAAGTGATTATCCTGAAATAGAAATCTGTTCCTACCCGAGGGACTAATAAAGGTGTGTTTTTCCTTAGGGGCAGCAGGATAGATGTAAGTCTCTGGGAGAGGATTCCCTCAACCCTAGATGGTTCAGGCAAAGGCTAGATTTCTTTTAACTCCTCTGACTATGCAAGAACTCAGCTTTCTCTTAGCTAACAGTATGCAGAAAGTTCTTGTCTCTTGTATTATGGCCACAATACTTGCCCTCTCTTTTTAGATGTGGATTAGAATTTCTGGACCTATGGGGCACCTGGGTGGCTCAGTTGTTTGAATGTCTGACTTTGGCTCAGGTCATGATCTTGTGGTTCGTGAGTTCGAGCCCCACATTGGGCTTGATGCGTCAGCCTGTCAGCACAGAGCCTGTTTTGAACCCTCTGCCTCCCCTCCCCCACTTGCACTCTCCCATAAAAAAAAAAAAAAAAAAAAAAGAACTTCTGGACTTATGGGTTCTGATTCTGTGGTTAATATCCTTAGGCCAGAGACCAGAGCTAACCATTACTTTGTGATACCCTGTGCTTGGCACTGAGCAGGTACTGTGGATGTTTGTGAATGAAGACTTTGTATTTACTAGTCACTATTTTGCACTGCATGTTATAAAGCTGATAATCCTAAAATAGTAGAATTGATTTTTGAAGTAAACAAATTCTTTTTTTTAACATATTAAAATACTACCATTGAACCTTCTTGTCTGCTTTTCCTGCTTCATCCTCTGCAGTGTGCCGAGATTTTGCTGTCTTAGAGGACCACACCCTGGCCCACAGCCTGCAAGAACAAGAGAGTGAGTAATGGCCCTCATTATGTTCCTTCTGTTTTCTTTTTTAGTAGTAGCTTGAGGCAGGTTTCTTTGGGTGAGGCAGGGAGAGAGAACAGAGTCACCAGGCCTACTTTCCATCAGTCCTGAAAATGAAGTTCTGGGTATTTTAAGATGTGACAGCTGCGAGGGATTAGGAGACTTTGGGTATGTGGGAGGAAAAGCGGCGCGTGAACCTTTCCCTTGCCTTAGTATTGTTAGGAGGGAGATACTATCTGGCATCTGTTCTTCCCCTGGAAGAGGGGCCTGAACATCTTTGCAGACATTGGAAGTATCTAGGTTGTGGCCTTTTCTCAATATTTATGTAGGTAATTATGGGAACTAAACCTAAGTTATGTGTGTTACACAGAAGTACATATTTGCAAATATGTAATTTGGGAATCATTAATTCATGTGTCAATATAAAAAGTAAGTATTGAAAATGTTTATAAATAGAGTGACAGCTTGTGGAGCAGAAGGAGCCCTGGCCTTGGTTTTAGTGTGGAAACTGGTGTGGAAATCCTGTCACTGCCGCTGTTTTGCCATGTGACCAGGGGCAAGTTACTTAACCTTTCTGATTCTCATTTTACTTAATGGAAAGAGAAGAGGAATAATTCCTTTGCTGCCTGTTATATAGCATTATTGAAAGCATAAAATGAAGTCTTGGATGTGAAGCTCTTTTTAATGGAAAAACCCTTCTTAAGTTATCCTGAGGCGTATTATTAACCAGACGAAACCTTGTGATTCCTCTCTTCAATCTCTCCGTCCAGTTGAACATCATTTGGCCTCGAATATTCAGCGGAACCGTTTGGTCCAGCATGATCTCCAGGTGGCTAAGCAGCTTCAGGAGGAAGATCTGAAAGCTCAGGCTCAGCTCCAGAAGCGCTACAAAGACCTGTGAGGATTTGGGGGCGGGCAGGAGGCATGCTGGGACTGGTTTTCTCTGTGGAGCCAGCAACCAGGGCAGGGAAGAAGACTGTGTGTCTGTCCCTCTCATGCCTGTCACTGTTAGATTACAAATCCTATAGTGGCTAGCCCACAGTTTTCTTTGGTCTGAAATTTTTGTTGTTGTTGGAATACTTCATAGGTTTGGGGACAAGTGGATTCTGGTATGACTCTCAGCACGTTTAACTGTTGGACTTTGAGCATTTCGATCCACCTCTCTGAGTCTGTATTCCTTCCCTATAGCACGTGGAAAATAATCTCTGTTCCCTTTGCCTCATAGGTTGGTTGGGGGATCCAGTGAAATACTGGATATCAAAGAACTTTATGAGTTGTATTGGATTCCTTTACTCTTGCGTGGTTGATGTTTGCTGCTCTTATTTTCCTTGAACCTCTTTTGCTTTTCAGGGAGAGGCAGGATCTTCTGGAAAGCTCTGAAATACACACTCAGTTCTCTTTATAACTTCAGCATCTGACAGACATTCTTTGCTCAGTCTCCTCCTGTAATAGTTCGGTAAATGGAAAGATTATATCCAAGGTCTCTTCCAGCAAAATGACTTACTTTTTTCCACTGTTTTAAAAGCTCAGAGGGTGCATTTCTTATTTGAGAGTGACCCCTGTATCTAAATCTCTGTGTAATCCCCTATATCTAAATGGTGGATTTAACCACAAGGTATTGTTTTGAGGGGAAAGGGTAGAGGGAGAAGTAAAGGGCCCCCACAGTTTACTGTAGTTCATGTTCAAATAAACAGGAAAGCCTATCATTTTTGCTGTCTTTGAGGAAGGGTTTGCCTTTCTGGTTTATTATTTGTAGAGAGAATTTTAGTCATCCTTTTGTTCAGCTTCCTTATTTTGTAAATAAACACTCTTACTGACTCTTGCTATACCTGTCACCATGAAAGGCATTGGAGACCACAAATAGGAACAAAATATACCTGTTGCCTTTAAGAGCCTCCGAATAAAACTCTGAGGCTTTTGAAATCTACAGAGACTGGTGTAAGCCACAGAGAATTAAATAATACATTTAATGCCAATGAAGAAAGGAGAGACTGGGAAAACCATTCTAACACAGGTGATGTATTTAATCTGAGCCTTGATGGTTAAATTAGAAGTTCATAGTGCTAGCTGAAGGAAACCATTCTAGCCAGAGGGAGTAATAGGGAAGGGAAGAGGTTAAAGAACCTGGAATCTCATGGTAGCTACAAGATGTTCAGTATTGCTGGAGTGTAGTGTGTGATTAAGGGCATGGGTTAGGGCATGAGGCCAGAAAAGTAGTCAAAAACTGGACCAAAAGTTATGCTTTTAGGAATTTAGATTTTGTAGATGTTATATTATAAACAACAGAGAACCATTGAAAGAGTTTTAGATTTTCATTTTGGGATCTACTCTGGGGGATGGGTAGATAAAGGATTGTGGGGGACAAGATTGAAGACAGCTTTGAAGTGGTCAAATTAAGAGATGACAAAGCTTGATTGGAGGGTAATGCTCATGGAATAAGAAGAGAGAGATTTGAGAGGTGTGGAGGTTTGGGGTCATAACCAGAGTTAAGATGAGAGCCAGAGGGGCGCCTGGGTGGCTCAACCCTCCAGCTCTTGATTTCATTTCAGGTAGGTCATGATCTCACAGGTTTGTAAATTCGAGCCCCACATCAGCCTTTGCACTGACAGTGTGGAGCCTGCTTGGGATTCTTTCTTTCCCCCCCCTCTCTCTGTCCCTCCTCTGTTCTCTCTGTCTCTCTCAAAATAAATAAACAAAACAAAACACCCCCAGAAAACAAAACAAAAAGATAAGAGCCAGAGCTAGAGTATTCTAGAGTTCTAAATCATTGCCTTTGACATTATTCACAGTGCTTTGCTATCAAGGGCAGTTCTGAGGCTGGTGCAGAAGTTTAAGACCCTGAATTAGGGTAATGATAGTATAATGAGATTATTCAGTGATTATTGAGATAAAACTCTAAATATAAATGAGGATTCAGAGAGTAATGGATTATAGGTCTTAAATTAGAGGAGAGCCAGATATTCTATTTCTGCTTGGGACTTCAGGCTTTTGGAGGTACTCCTAGCTGAAATAAGTGGTTAGAAAGGAAGTTTTTCTGATTGTCACACGCTAGCAGTTTTGACAGTTGCACCTCACTGGCTGGATGAAATGCTGTGAATATTAATGAACTGGAAGCTCTTACTCACTCTGCATCCTGGGGCCCCCGTCCACTATCAGGCTTGCCCATTGTTGACTACCCCTTTCTCACGTGATTTTGCTTCCTCGGGATTTTGTGTAATTGTCTGCATGAACTCGATCTTGTCCTTCATGGAAATATGATTGGAAGTGATTATCCTCAGCTTAAACCTCACTTCTTTATTTTCTGTACTAGGGAGGACATCTGTGTCACTTGTAACCTTTAACATTTCATTTGGATTTGCCTTCTCTGCTGGGCTTCTTCTTTTTCCCATCTATTATTATCTTGCATGTAATTAATATTTGCTAACTCCTGTACAGATTTTACCTGAGTTTGAGAGATCCAACTAGAGAAGTCTTTGAAAACTAGGAACATGATTTTGTGTATGATTCTTAATTATTAGAAGTAAGTGAATGAAAAGAGGATATATAAATAAAAATTGTTTTGAGTAGATTTTGTTTCTTTTCAATTCTTTGGTTTGAGTGGTTAAGAGTTCTAAAATATTAGACCTATAAGATTAAGTCATTAAGTCCAAATACTTTTATAGCTGATAAATTGACAAGAGAGGGCATGGCTCACTGACTCTCAGTGGCAGGACCAGAAATCAGGTCTGCAGCTACCTTGTCCAGTGTTTTTCCTACTGATTCTAGGAGAGTCTTGCCATCCCTTACCTGTGCTCTCTTACTTCCTCTTCCTTCCTTTCTGTTTTGTATCGGCATAACACGTGCGTACATGGCTGCGTCTCTGTCCACCTGTACCTGCCTGTCTCCAAGCATGTTGGAAGTGACCGTTTCTGTATACAAATGAGGATAATTTCTGCCTCTCAGTTTTGTTGGAAGAGAGAGTATGGGCTTTAATTCCTTAATCACAGTTCAGATTATTGCCCTCCCCAACACTTTCCATTTTACAAAATGCTGTTTGTTAAACGTGGAATAGCCAGCCAAGAATGAGATTCATTGAGAGTTTTAAGTTCACTCGGTAGAGAGAGAATGAGAGGGAGAATGAGAATGTTTGTTTAGCAAGAAAACTCCCTCTGTAAGTCACAACTGTAATTTCATTCCAACCTCTTCTTAAGTCGTAAACCCTAAGCATGTTTATGGTCATCCTTCCTAGCTAACAGTTGTGTGTAAAGTTTGGCTTTCCAGAGGTATCAGGTTCTGGAGTTTGAAGCTGCCTATTGACTTTTCTTGACCTGAATCTAGAAGACATGCACTTGTACCCATCTCTGAGATATCCAGTTCTTCTTTTTTGTTTGCATTGCTGTTTTAGAGGTGATCTATTTTGCCCACCAAAATCATCCTCTTGGTTCTTCTTCCAAAAAGGATTGTGAGCCTTGACTGCAAAGTGAAGATTTACTCATGTTTGTATCCTCAGTGTCTGAGCATGGTGTCTGTACTATAGCAGGTGTTAAATTTAAGTCCCTGTTCAGTACATGAATGCCAAAACAAGGCAAACTATGGTAGCAGCAGTATTGCAGCATTTGCGTTTCTCAGGGATCTGAGTTTTAAGAAAACTGGCACCAGCCAGAGAGGTGTCTACTGGGAACTGAAGCTGCACGGTATTTTAAGTATTAGTGAAACTGAAAAACACATCTAATTTAAACTCTTATAAAAATCATTTTAAAGTCATACCATCACTTCTAGGAGACCAGAGTGACATCTAGTGATTTGTATATTTGTGGACATTAATCTGATAGTTTACGTTTCCTTTGCAAGATCTTGAGAAAGCATGCCTGTCTGTGGAGTGGCCCCAGTATGGTGAGGTGATAAGAGAATTTAGAAAAGGCCTGGGACTTTCCATTGTAGTGTCTGGGGATCAGATTCTGGTTCTGCCACTTGTGTTCTCTGTGCTCTTAGGGAAATGCTGTCACTACTCTGGACCCTAGCTTTTTTATCTGTAACGTGTGACAATATCCACCTCTTTGCATCATTATTGTGAGGATTAAATGAGATAAAGATTCGCACGGGTTCATAGTATTCAGTAAATTGTATTTTTAAGAAAATTTATTTATTATTTATTCATACTACTTTCACCTTTGTTTTTTAGTGAACAACAAGACTGTGAAATTGCTCAGGAAATCCAGGAGAAGCTGGCTATTGAGGCCGAGAGACGACGCATTCAGGAGAAGAAAGATGAGGTACAACTAAGATAATGCCCCTCCACCCCAGCCCTGAGGAAGGGCTGCCTTCTGTATTCATGGACTCAATGCAGGGTTGCCGGATGGGCAGCAGAACTCTCCTCTTTGGTGGTGCACAGTCCAAGTGTTGCCCTCCATAGACCACTGTTTATTGCCCCTCGATAACCTAAGTGAACTCTTCTTAAAGATGATGCTAATTCAACATAAGAGGTGAATTAGTTTCCTTGGGCTGCTTTAACAATCACCACAGACTTGATGTGTTAAAACAGCAGAAAAAGAGTCTCTCACAGTTCTGGAGGCCAGGAATCCAAAATCAAGGTTTTGGTGGGTCCCTGCTGCCTATTGGGAAAGATGCTTCTTTGCCTCTCCCTAGCTACTGCTGGCTCCTGACAATCATTGGCATTTCTTAGAGTGTCACTGGATCACTTCAGTCTCTGCCTCTGTGGTCGGATGGCCTTCTTCCCGTGTCTTTGTGTCCTCTTGTTTTCTTAAAAGGAAACCAGTCATTGGATTGGGGACCCACCCTCATCTAGTATGATTTTCTCTTAACTAATTACATCTGTAAAGACCCTATTTTTGAATAAGGTCATATTCTGAGGTTCTTAGTAGAAATTACTTTTTGGGGGGCACTATTCAAACCATACAGGGTGTTTGTTTGTGGGTTATTCGTGCAGTCTTAGAGAGAGGGAGAGCAGACCTGTGTGTGGTCTGAACACAAGTCAGGGCATGTCAATCGTGAGAGGCCAGGGGCCACCAGTGCTCTCACTCTTTGCTGTTCATGGCTTCACTCTCCTGTGATGCGCTGCCTCAAGGAACTAATCAGTTTAATTCTGCATATATTTTTAAATTGTATTGTTTTTAAAGTTGAAAATGACTACAAGTAGCAGCAGTGTTTTTTGGTAAGGAGACTTGAATTTGCATTTAACTATTTCCTTTGTTTTACACTTTTAGCCTTTCTTACAAACAATTCCTTTTCAGCATGTATTGATTCTTTTCTTCTTTCAAACCAGCTGTGCTGTTCTTGGCCACAGACTGAAGAAAATGATTTAGAGTTTTAGTAGGAGGATGGCCATATGATTTATTGTATGTATACTCACATATTCTTCTAGGTTCAAGGGGGGCTATTAATAATTACATAAGCTGGGCCTGCCTTGGGTAAACCAGCACACGGAATCACCCTGTTAAATAGATGGGATGAGGACCATCAGTCAAGCAGCCTGCATATACTGCTGCTCCCACTGAGCCATCCTTGTCCCTCTAAGACTCCTTGTTCAGTGCCAGGTGAGCGGGAGACATCTGCTATGTGTGTATTTAGCTGTTTCTTTAAGAAACAAACCATGATCATGTGATAATCAGAACTGAAAGTAAGCATTAGGATTTGCTTTTTATCCTTCCTGTTATCAACACAGGAACTCTTTCTTCCTGCAGGATGTGTTACTCTGTGTAGTCAAGACTTAGCTTTGGGGATGAAATTGGGAACTGAAAGAAGTGATTATATTTTCTGAACAGGAAAGCTTCTATTTTAAAAAATAACAGAGTGATGAAGTTGGCTTCTTATAAATGCTACCGGTGTCCTGTGATTCCCCCACCCCCCCATTCAAGAAAAACAGGATAGAAAGAGAAAACAAAGCACTTTATTTAGGCGTGTAGAATCTAAACAGCAATCACAATAAATAGTCTCGTGGTAATACTGTATAAAGTAAGCAGTGTAGTGATTGACTCTGTTCTTCAGATGAAGAAATTAAGACTTGAGGAAGTCAGTGACTGGTCTCCAGCTATAATAAGATGACCGAGAAATATCTGTACAGTTCAGGTTCCCTGACTGACTGCTTCTGACACGGATGTCCTGTGACACAACAGAAAACATGGAGATTTTCGAGTTAGGGTGCTCTGAGTTTGAATCTTAGCTCTTTAATGTCTAGCTGTGGCTTTCAGCATTTTACTTACCCAGGTAGAACCTTAGGTTCCGAAATGGAGAAGTCATGATAATTGCACATACACTAGAGGGCTGTTGTGAGGTTTAATGCCTTTGGTGCATATTAACTTAGCTTCTTACATACTAAGTCAATTTCTTTTTTTTTGCTTTCTTGCCTAGTGTTTCCCCACCATTCTGCCCCTTATAACAGCTCTGATTTCTATACAGAAAGAGATGTGTGCTAAATTAGAAACGGGGAAAAATAAACAGGCTCAAGTATATTCCAGTCTGGTGTGATTTGAGCCAAGAGTTTTCTTGCTTTTACACATCTCCCAGCTACCTTGCCCTCCTCTGTTGTTTGACCTACAGAAATGGTCCCATTCCCCAGTGCTGTCAGAGACTGAATGAGAAGTGCAGCTGTGGAGATTTAGTGAGACTAGCCTTAAAAGCTCCATTCAGACTCTTTGACTTTTCAGCTGATGCTTTAGATCAGAATATGCCTACCGTGTGGAGATGTTTTCTTATCTGAAGATAGGGCTCTCAGCTGACTGGTATGGTATTAATATTAAATGCACAAAATTTGCATTAGTAAAGTTTGTCATTGAAGAATGTATGATAATACATATTTGTTTATTTTAGTCCACGGTGCCTCACAGAGGACACTGAGATGAGATAATAGTGGGAATTTTTCTGGCCAACTTTTGAAAAAAACATCATTGCCTGTTACTTGTGAACTGACCTAATTCTTTTTTTTTTTTTTTTTTTTCCTTCTCTTCTCTCTGTGCTCTTCTATTTTCTTATGGAGTCTGCTTAGCTAGTATGTTCTTACTGGACAGCAGGGCTGTGGAAAATTCCTCTCTGGATTTTCACCCAGATCTCTTTTAAGAGATTTTTGGGGTCAGTTCTTTGGTTGTTTCTAAGTCCCCAAACAACCAGATATAGAATCCAAGGCCTCTTTCCTATTGGGACAGAGTATTTTTCCTGAACAACATTGTACATGAAGAGTAGAGTTACACAACTCTCTGTGGGTTAATTAGCATTTCTGACTTTGTTATGGTATAATTTTATTGTGCTTTTTAACAGAGCACAGATGTAAGGAAAGTAGCATTTCCATTCAGGGAGACAGATGTAGAAAAGTTAAACCAACAACAACAAAAAGTCTACAGAAGGAGAGAGATAGTCTTACCAGCATTGTAGCTTTCCCCTTCCTCCTCTCCCCAGTCCTCTTCCCTCCCTTCCTCTTTCTCTTTCTCTTTCTCTTTTTTCCTTTATTCTTCTGTCCTCCCTCCTCCTTCCCTCCCTTCATTCCTTTCTTCCTTTTTTAAAAAAAACTTGTTTTACATAGTGTGACTATAGTAGTTGCATTTCTCTCTAAGCCTCTGTTGAAGAAAGGGTTGTAGCCTTTGGGAATACTGGACTGTGTGAGTTTGCAAGTAATTAAAGTGGACTAATTCCATTGGGATCATTTTCTTTAGTCATAGCATAAACATTTGTCAGTGTTATTTAATAAGGCTAAGGAATGTGTGTTTAGTTGGTTTAACTTATTTTTATTTTTTTTATTTTTTTCAACATTTATTTATTTTTGGGACAGAGAGAGACAGAGCATGAAGGGGGGAGGGGCAGAGAGAGAGGGAGACACAGAATCGGAAACAGGCTCCAGGCTCTGGGCCATCAGCCCAGAGCCCGACGCAGGGCTCGAACTCACGGACCATGAGATCGTGACCTGGTTGAAGTCGGACGCTTAACCGACTGCGCCACCCAGGCGCCCCGGTTTAACTTATTTTTAAATGAAATTCTTAAGCGTGTGTGTATGTGTATGTGTGTGAATATCTATAGGTATATGTGTGTCTCTGAACCTAGGTCCAAATATATGTGAATGTGCAACTATTTTAGGGCAAACCTTTTTTTTTTTTTTTTTTTGCTTAAGTAAACATTAGCATGACCATTTTATGAAAAGTCTGTGGTACTAATCCAGCAGTTTGAAGCCATGTATAATATGAACTGTTCAGGGATAAACTTAGTAACCAGTTTACATTAAAAATTAATTTAGTGTGAAAGTGATTAGAATTTCATGTTCTAAAAAAGTATTTATATAAGTTGGTAATATTTAGAGCATAGCTCAAATATCAGTACATTTTAGCTACTAAAAAAATTTCCTATGTTTTGGCACTTTAAAAATAAGATTATACATGTATGGCCAGAAAGGGGGAGGGAGTGGAAGGTGCCTGGTTGAGAAAATTCTTCTTTCTTATTATCTTATTTATATTGATGTTTTTTGCATCCATAGAACTGGTATGTTGTTTTCTGGTCTTATACCCCTCTGGAGATGATACCTCTTGAGAGTTCCCTACTGAATTAGATTTAATAACTGGTTGATAAAGAAGTGTAGCAGTCTAATGGAATGTCTTTCCTTCTTTTTTTTTTTCCTTTCTGATAGTCATTTGACAGTCACATTTTTAGATTTCCTTGATTTTGTGCTGAAGATTTCCTCATTTTGAAATTTCCTCATTTCCCACCATTGAGGAATAGAAGTGGAAACTTTCAGGGAGAAGTAACCCTGATATAAAATCATATAAACCAAAAAAATAGCATAAGGAATTCAACACAATAGTTTAGTAATTTGTCATGTGCTTGGGGAAGATGTGCTAGGCTCCTTTGGGCCCCATTGCACCTGGTTTGTGATAATGCCTCTCTTAGAGCACTCCCCGTTCAAAGGGTCTTAAATCGTGCTAATGGTTTTGCTTCTAAAACTTAATAGGTAAGGCTTTGAAGATATTGATCATATATCCTGTTTTTCTACAGAGGACTCTAGGAGAATGTTTGGTTCCTTGAAGGGAATCAGTAAATATATGTTTTTATTAAAATTACTTTTTTCTAGCACAGAGATCTTTAACTGTGTTCTGTCTTATGCTCATTGTTTCAAATTTTCAAGAGGTGGGTGAGCTTGAATGACAGAAAAGGGAAAGATGAAATATAATGGTGAATTTTCATTCAAATGAATGTATTTACCAGAAGGTCTTCTAATTATGGAGGGGTTTTTTTTGTTTTTGTCTTTGTTTTTTGTTTTTTTTTTTTACACATTAACCCAAAGTAAGCCTACTTGATTAATATGATTAATTAAAAAATAATTGAAAATGACTTCAGAAGGGCTTATGAGTTCTTTTAGGTTTGTTTTCTCAAATTATGTCTTATGAAACAGTAATTCCAAATGCAAAGACTTGTACTAATTCATGTAAGCAGAAATAAGATTTGCCTCTTTAATACTCACATTGACATTTTTACTCTTTTATTGAGGCATTCATGATTTAATTGTATTTTAGTTATTTGCATATACTTTTGCCATCATAGGCTGGGGGGGCAGGGTCAGAATGTTATTCATCACTCAGTAACTGTAAAAACTTGCCTGGCAAAGAAGCAAGGGGGAGATAGGAGGAAGACCATTTTGTCTTTTTCAGTGGTGCTCTAATGCAAAGCTAAATCAGCCAAATAATTTTTTTCAAAGTTTCAAAATTAAATTGTATATACAATTTTAATGTTTTATAGATTACTGCACTCTTTTCCATCCAGGCTTAGTGAATCATCGTCTTGGAAAAAGGGCCCACAAATAAGAATTTTAAAAATTCTGTTGTTTAATCAGCTTTAGGAATACTAGGTTTGTATGTCCCAGATTGAGTTAGGTTTAAATTTCAATTAACCAAAAAGTCTTTCTTGTTCATCTGGATCATGTGCTACTCCACTGAGTATTTGAATAGCATGAGCTTAATGCCATGAAGTCTGGAAAGCTATGGATGGAGTCCATAAGAGATTGGCAGTGGAGGGTCAAACCATTGACTTTAGGGCCACTGGATGGAGTTTGTTTCATTGTAAAAGGTTTGTTTGTTCTCTGGTAATATTTATTAGCATTCTCTCTTTATTTGCAGGACATAGCTCGCCTTTTGCAAGAAAAGGAGTTACAGGAAGAGAAAAAGCGAAAGAAACACTTTCCAGAGTCCTCTGGATCCAGTGCTTATGGAGATAATTACTACTATGAAAATGGAGGTAACAATGACTACATTATGACTTACTCTATCCTTAGACTCAACCATAGGACACTCCTTTAAATCTGTCTGTAAAGTGACCTCAGGGTTCATATGGATTTATGGCCAAATTCTATGTGAATCTGAATTCGTCTGTTCTTTAGTTGGATGACCAGAGCCATTTTCATGGCTGTTAAAACAACTGGCATTTTGTAAGATTTGGCATGCATTCTTTCGTGCTGCAGCCACTTGGAACGCTGTACTACATTCTAAGCACATAAATTGGGGTGTGGAAAATGGGGGTGAGGCTCTGGGCTTGATCTTTCTCAAGGAAGTCTGGGCACAGTGTCCGAGGCAGCAGAGTGCCATGAATAATGAAGATGGTACGCAACACATCAGTTGGGTAACAAAGCTCTTGTGTTTTAAACATAGGCCACTGAGTATGTATGTTGATGACAAAATTAAAATTTAAGATTCCATGTTCATTATTTGTCCTTGCTATTTTGCTTTCTTGCTGTTTGATTACCATAAAGAAAAAAATCCTGAGGGTGAAAAGCCCCTTCAGAATTTCTCTTCTCTAGTGCCTGCTTTTGCAGTGTGGTGCTGGTGCTTTGTGGTGGCGGTTGTGGTGCTGGTGATTCTTTCTCTTACTAGTGTGTTGGGAAATGAGTATTTGCAAGTATTGTCCCATCCTTTTTAAAGATCTGTCAAAGGAAAGACATCTCCTCTAATTCTAGCGTCCGTATTGATTGCAGTTCAGCTGGGAGACCACACTTAGGATAACAAGTAAGGAAAACCTAAAGCAGATTCTAGAAAGTAAAGACATTAAGGTCCATGTTACTAAAGTCTCTTGTGAACTAATTATCAATTACTTCTCTGTGATTTCATTGTAAAAGGTAAGTAGGTGTTTGTGTTTGATGAGTGGAATGAAAGGAATGCATATGCAGATGTTAGGATTATTACCGTTGAGTACAATCTTGCCCAGCCACATTGTTCTACATTTGTTACCAGTAGAGCTCGGCTCTGTGGCATAGTTCGTAGGCAGGTTGATTCTCTCTCTATTGCTTGATGTGCTCTCCTTCCATAAGTAAAGTGCTCAGTTCTTTCTTGATAACCATTTTCATTATGCTTGTTTTTCTAATGAAATCATGTATCACATAATTAAAAAACAAACAAACAGTATTGCCTTATAGTTTTGTGCTGGAAACCAGAATGTGAAGAGTTTATTCTTCATATTCAGTTATAACCTTAGAAATGTGCTCTTGTGTTTTTTATTTGTTTTTATTTTTAATTCTGCTCTGGAATCATGTTCACTGCAAATAAAAGTCACTATTTAAAATAAAACTATTAAGTCTAGAAAAGCATTAGGATGGCAAGTAATTAAGTATACTAAAGTATTAATTTTAGCCTCCCTCTGTTAAAACTTTACACTACTTGGAATTGGGACTCAAATCTGTTGTTTTGATCAGAGTGCTATCATTCTTGAGGGCAGGGGACTACCTATGTTAAGAATTTAGTGGTTTTTCAGGAACATTTACTAAAATCATGAAGTCTTGACCTCCTGAGCATATGTATGTGAATATTGGAATTCCTTTTCAGTTGTGTTGTTGAGAGTTTATATGTTGCTGAACATGTGTGATCCTCATTCATTTGCCTTTGAGTTAGACCGAGTTGAGTTCCACAGAAACCCCATCATAATTCGGCTCATGTGCTCAAAGTAATTCTTAGGTTCTTTGCAGTTGTCTTTTCCCAACACATAGGGATATTCTTTAATTGTACTTCTCTATCTTTCTGTGTACTTTGATTTTTGCCATACTTATATAATAATTATAATAGATCATTATGGAAGTGGTCCTCTTTTCAGCTTTTATTTTGCTTCAGTGTAAATCTTAAAAATGATCACTTATAGATTTTCTACAAATCTGAAATTATCTAAAACATCTGTCAGATTTATATCAACTAGAATGGCATGTCTTATTCATTTGTGAATCCATGTTTTTCTTTCAAAGCCACTGACCTGTATTACAGGCATATTAGTCTCTTTTAAGTCATGGTCTTTGGAGTCATACGACCTTGGTTCAAGTTTCATTCCTTCCTTAGAGCATTTGTAATGTTGAGAAGTTATCTACTATAATCACATTAAGCCTTTCTCTCATCTGTAAGATGGAGAGTTTAAAAATACATCCTTCACATGGGTGTTGAGAAGATCAAATAATGTAATTTTGGTGAGGACTTAAACTCCAAAGTACTGTTGTTCATACATGTATCAGTGTTATGTGTGTATGACAGTATCTTCCATTTCTAAACAAAAATCATCTTATTTTGAAAGACAAACATGGAAGCACACAAAGTGTGTGTGTATATACATATACATATGTATGTGTATATATAAATGCATACGTGTTGGCTCTAAGGAACTTAATTATATTTGCCAAATAACTTGGTCACAAGAAAAATACAAGTCCCAGTCCCCACCCCAGTCTTTTTTCTTTCCCAGGTTTGAAGATAACACAAGTGAAGTAGACAATAGATATTTTTTCCTATCAACTCTGTGAAAATGTAGTGACAGCTCTGTTCTAACTCTTGAAACACATTCAACTAAAGTAAAACTGATTATCAGTTAACTTTTCAGAAAGGATTAAAACCACCACCAAAAGAACAATCATAGCCTCACATATCCATGTCAAAAACAGAACCCTTGTTTTTTGGGAGCTAGAAGGCAGACTTCATTCATGCAGCCCTTTGTGGGAACATTGGTATTAACACTGAACCATTGTTCCCTGGATATGGTTATCATTTAAGTAGCTAGTCAATTTATATTAATAATTCATAGCAGTAGTCAATTGATTCTCAGTTGTCAAGACACACTTAAAATGATAGTTTGCTAAAATTATAGATACTTTTTTACCATAGAGAGTAATTGTTCTGTTTCAGTTTTGCTTTTATGCAAAAAATAAATTTAATCAAAAATTCTTCAGATGATTTTAGAAGACTGATTTTAATTTGGATATCATCTTTGAAGCAAATTTCCTTTTCTTCTGGAAAGCTCAAGAGGAAACAATTTGAAGGTTTTGAGAAGCGTTATGGCGTCAGTGATACATTTAGCACAAATTTCCCCTTTCTCAGTTCCTTTATTAGATTAACAATAACAAAGCTAAGACAACAAAAACAAAATGAAAGAAAAACCCTAAAAACTAAGAAAATGTATAGTCCTTTATTTCCTCTACATCCCATCAAATTGGGGTAGCTGTTTCAGATGCAATTCAGCAAGTGAGTAATTTCAGCAGGGAACAAATCTTAGATAATTTAGTAGTTTTCTTGGAACTAGGGTTTCTTTTCTTCTGTTTTTTTTTTTTTTAAGTTCATTTATTTTGAGAGAAAGAGAAAGTGCACAGAGTGGGGGGGAGAGAGAGAGAGAGCAACCCCAAGGCTGGGGGGGGGGAGAGAGAGAGAGAGAGAGAGAGAGAGAGAGAGAGAATATCCCAAGCAGTCTCCGCACTGTCAGTGCAGAGCTCAGTGCAGGGCTCGAACTCACAAACTGTGAGATTGTGACCTGAGCAGAAATCAAGAGTTTGGATGCTTTAATCAACTAAGCCACCCAGGTGCCCTGTGATTTATTTTTATTACAACATGTACTAAGGGTCTTACACAATGTTAAATATGCCCTGCAAAGTGCATAGTAATTCCCTTCCTTCATTTTCACAATAGGCTTGTGCCCGAATGAGACTGGACAAAAGCACACCTCTATGTGCTGTTACTGAAATTTGTTACTGAAATCCCTGTGTTACATCAGGGATTTGTATATTTAGCACATATTGTCTTTTTATAGAAAGAATACAATATCATGTTTTTTGAAGTGAATGTAGGGATGGAAGGGACTCCTTTTCCTGTATTCTATTATGGCATCCATTTTTAATTTTTTCCTCTGTAAAATTTAAGTTAAGTTTGGGAGCAGAGTTACCCAAAGATAACAGGGTCATGTACTCACTTAAAATTCTCTACCCCATCTTCTTCCACATTGAACTGCATGGCTGGGAATACTTGTTTTGGCCACCTAAGGAGAGAGAGTAGGGGAATACTAAAAACTGGGTCATTTCTCAGACTCTAATGGAAACTAGCAACATTCTGATAGAGATTTATTATCATTTCCAATAAGAATATTTGAAAGCCTCTTCCTGGAAACCTTAATTATCACAAAGCTTGGTTGTTTTCTGTTTTATGAGACTCCCTCAACCCCTACTTTCCCCCCATAATACTTCCAAATTGGTTTTATAAATAGAATTTAACATTTAATGGCCATGGCTTTTGTTATTGGCAAATATTAAAGTACTGTATTAAGTCTCCATAATCATAATCAAGCTCTTCTTTCAGATTTAAGTTATTTCACATAATTTTAGTCTTTTAAATTTTTGACCGTGTACCCAGAATCCTTCATCTATGCCTGGGCCAATCCAATAAATGCCCATCCCCTCTTTGCAGTTTGTTGAAAAACTAGTCTTCTCCATTTTAAAATATGGGCCCTGTCTTTCCTGTGTGGTGAGTTCATATGCTCATTAAGTTAACCTACATTTCTATTTTTCACATCCCTCCACTTCCACTCAGACCAGCCACAGTCAAGGAGGGCAAGGGAATTGGGTTCTGGAGTCTCAAGGTCTTGTAGACTCCAAAGTGATGGAAACACTGTGAAGCAAAGGAAAGAGAAACCCAAACATCCAATGGAGAACTTGGAAGAGCTGGAAGATTACTGTTCATCAGGGAAACTTCTGTCATCCTGTAGCTCAAGCAAAGTGAGGGGCAGTCCCCACAATGACTCTGAGCAGCGTGAAAGGAAGCGGTCTGATCATGAGAGACTTCGGAGACCTCCACTTCCCAAGATCAGTGGTGAGGTGTTTTTGAGTACTGGATTTGATGACTGGGAGGCTAACAGTAGCCATCGAACTCAGAATTGGGAAAAAAAGTCCAGACACCAAGACCGACTTTCACCCAAGTCTTCACAGAAATCGGGGCTTCATTACAAGGAAGCTGTGTATGGGAGGGACCGTGGGCAAGGTGAGCACAGAGAAAGGAAACACAGGCCCAGGACTCCTCCCTTCTCAGAGAGTGAGAAATGGCTCCAACTCCATGACACAGGTAATAAAGGACAGTCATGTTGAAAATCCTGGTATCATGTATATACATACAAGCAAATGTATTTAATAAGCATCTTCAGCAACGTATTCTTTCTCTGTAGTTTGTACTCATGGCTTTGAAATAAATCCTGGAGCCAAATATTATAAAAGGTATCTACTTAATACCAAGTATATAGGAAGAAGAAACATATTTGTACATTTCTACTACTACCTTCCAAGAAAATTCACCAATTCCTTACAAAGTTCTTCCAGCCCCAGTTTGCAGTGGACGTGCCCATCCCAGACACAGTTCTTCATTTGTCAAGACCATATACCAGAGAATCAGATACCAAATCATAGCTCCTGAATTTCTGGGTGTAAGTCAGATCTTGTGACACTGTCTTCGTATTATTTGCCTAACTAGAAAATCAAGGCTGGAATTACTAGCTTCTTTTGGGCTCATCTTTGCCATGTGTAAAGTGAGAGATCAGATAGGCATTCTCTTATAACAGCATATTTCAAATTGTGGGCCTTGGTCTATTTTTGTCAGAATCAGCTGGGCTGCTTCCTAAAGAAGCAGCTTTCTGGATCTCACAGGTATTATAATTTCTATAGTTTCTCCTGGCAGTTTGGACTCATTTTAGACTTGAGGTAATTTTTCTGCACTTAAAGTTTGAAGACATTTCCTTAAGTTACTTTCTAGGCTCTAACCATCAACGACTCTAATGCTACAGTTGGTGTTCTGAAATGCCGGTATCCGGTAAGTTCTTGGCATTTGTTTAGGAATAAGGTGAATGTTCTGGCATGTCTGAAGTTTACCTCTGAAGTCCTTCATTGACCCAGTAATGGTTCTCTCTCTTCTTATCTGGAAACTGCTGTGTGGTGATGTTTTCCTTGTGGTTCTACCACTGTAAGTCATAATTAGACCATAGTCCTCTCCCTGGTTCTATTGTACTCTTATTGAAGTTTTGCAGCAATGCAAGGGTTATTGGAGAGTACCAACGAGGCATCTCTACTTATTTTCTTCCTAACTGTTGCCCAGCCAACCTCTACTTTTGGGTCTGGAAACTGGTTAGGTTGCAGATTCAGGTTGATTTAGTTTGTTTCTCCTATTGTGTTATCTCTTCCTATCATGTTAGTCATTTAAGTTATTAAAAGACTTGGTCATAAAGAAAATGAAAATTCAGTTCAGCAACCGTATTAAGTACCTACTGGAAATATTCTCGCCTCAGGCTTTATGTTTGGGGATATATGCTTGGATCTGAGCCTCAGAGGGTTTTAATAAGTCAAGCCAAAAAGATGGAGTGAAAGTAAACAGTCATAAATTAGGTATATTTTGAACAAAGAGCTCTGGAGGAGTAGAGGAGAACTGATATCATCTGTCTATAGTAAGTTATACTGTATCCAGATGTAGAAAGACTTGGAGTCCTAATATGGGAGAGAGTTGCCCCCACCTCTGCATTTCTGATTCTGTGATTCTGATCTTTTAAGAGTGCTCTGAGGACCGGTTAATCTTTACGGCTTTAGTCATTCTTGAGGTTTTCTTAAAAAGGCTTAGGAAGGGTAAAACTAATATGAAATGAAATACTAACTCACAACTCTATTACTGGAATTGCGGGTAAACTCGCCCAAGGACCCAACACAATGGTTTAAAAAAAAAGGTGGCTAGGCAGGTACTCAAATGGCTACAACAGAGCTGCTGGTCTTGATATTCAACGTTAGAAATTCTATCTTCCTAGCTACTGCAGGCATTTGATTTTGTGACCCCACGAATAGAAGGTTACATTAAAATGCAATTACTAAATACTGGTGTCTATTCTTGTTTTTGTAAAAGCATAGTTCTTAATGTTGTTGGCATAGGCTAAAATTTTATTTAACTTATTAATTAAGAAACTAGCAGAGTGACAAAGAGCTAATGAGAGAATTTGAGGGCAGGCTTTTTTATAGTTAGTTGAAAAAGGAATGCAAAATACAATTGTTAAAATTAAATATAAGATTGGTTAACTTTCTAAAGGACAGTAAAACTGTAACATCTTTGAGGGTAACTTCTCTAATGAGCTATTAAATCATAACAGCATATTAATTTTTCTACAGTTTAAAAGCAAACTTTTAACAGTTTTATTCTGTGAGAATTTAAAGGTAAGCTGTATTTGTGTTTGTTGGCGGAGGTCCTTGTGTCCTTAAACTGGAGAACGATGAACAGGAGACAAGGATTAGATTAAGAATTGAATGTGAAACTGTTAAGTATGGCTCACCTGATCTTTTGAAAACTGGTGTTTGGATTGTTGAGGCTACCAAGATGACAGCAGCCATTCCTTCAATTTCTTTCAATTAACTGCATTTAAAAAAATTTTTTAAGGCATCTCTGTTTTCTATAATGAAATGTACAGCCTTACATTGTAGTATCTGAAGTTCCTTCTTAAATACTCACATAAGCTCTTTTTACCTCTGGTACACAGCATACTACTATTTAGTGGGCAGTCCTGCCAGTCCAGAAATCTAGTATTTTATGATGGAGATTTTCTGCTTATGAGACATGTGAATTACAGTGATATATCAGTAGTTCAAATAAACTCTTTACCCACTAGATATTTGGGACTTAGAGAGATATTATTTCAGATACTTATTAGTTAACCATTTATTCATTCATTCATTTATATTGAGATATAGTTAATGTATAACATTATATTAGTTGAAGGTGTACAATGTAATGATTCCATATTTGTGTATATTACAAAGTGTTCACAATAAGTCTAGTTAACGTTCATCACCCTATATAGGCACAAGGTTTTTTGTTTTTTTTTTCTTATGATGAGAACTTTTAAGATGTACTCTCTTAGCAACTTTCAGATATGTAATACAATATTACTAACTGTAGTCATCAGGCTTATTTATTTTATAACTGGAAGTGTGTACCTTTTGATACCTTTCACCCATTTTACTCACTCCTTACCCTCTGCCGCTGGCAACTCCCAGTCAGTTCTCTGTATCTGTGAGCGCTTTTTTTTTTTTTTTTTTTTTGTGATTCTTTATATAATTGAGATCATATGGTATTTGTCTTTCTCTGACTCATTTCACTTAGCATAATGCCATCAAGGTCTGTCCATGTTGTTGCAGATGGCAAGATGTCCTTATTTTTTATGGCTGGATAATATTAATTGTATATACACCACAGTTTTCTCTATCCATTCGTATGTTGAATGACACTTAGGTCGTTTCCATGTCTTAGCTTCTGTAAATAATGCTGCAGTGAACATGGGGATGCAGATATCTTCTTGAGTTAGTGCTTTTTGCTTCTTTCAGATAAATACCCAAAAGTGGAATTGCTGGGTCACATGGTAGTCTTATTTTTTTTATTTTTTGAGGAACCTCCATACTGTTTTCCATAGTGGCTGTTTCCAGTTTATGTTCTCAGTAACAGTGCATGAGGGTTCATTCCCTTTTCTCCACATCCTCACCAACAGTTATTATTTCTTGTCTTTTTGGTAATAGTCCTTCTAACAGGTGTGAAGTGATATTTTGTTGTGGTTTTGATTTGCATTTTTCTCATGATTAGTGATGTTGAACACCTTTTCAGGTACCTGTTAGCCATTTGTATGTCTTCTTTAGAAAAATGTGTATTCAGTTCCTCTGCCCATTTTTTTAAAGTTTATTTATTTTTGAGAGAGAGGGAGAGAATGAGAGAATGAGTGGCGGAGGGGCAGAGAAACGGGGGAAGGAGGATCCAAAGTGGGCTCTGTGCTGAGAGCAGTGAGCCCGATGTGGGTCTCGAACTCACAAACCATGAGATATGACCTGAACCAAAGTCAGACGTTTAACTAACTGAGCCACCCAGGCACTCTGCCCATTTTTATTTTTTTTTTTATTTAAAAAAAAATTTTTTTTTCTAGCATTTATTTGTTTTTTGAGAGGCAGAGAGAGACAGTATGAGCGGGAAAAGGACAGAGGGAGAGGGAGACACAGAATCCGAAGCAGGCTCCAGGCTCTGAACTGTCAGCACAGAGCCTGACGCAGGGCTCAAACTCACGAACAGTGAGATCATGACCTGAGCCGAAGTCAGACACTTAACCGACTGAGCCACCCAGGTGCCCCACTCTGCCCATTTTTAAATCAGATTGTATTTTGCTGTTGTGTTGTATGAGTTTTTTATGTATTTTGGGTAGTCACCTCGTATCAGATTTGCAAATATTTTCTCCCATTCCGTAGGTTACTTTTTCATTTTGTTAATGGTTTCCTTTGCTGTGCAGAAGCATTTTAGTTTGATGTAGTCCCACTTGTTTATTTTTGCTTTTGTCACCTTTACTTTTATGTCAAATCAAAAAAAAAACCCAACATTTCTTTTTTTTTTTTTTTTTTTCCAACGTTTATTTATTTTTGGGACAGAGAGAGACAGAGCATGAACGGGGGAGGGGCAGAGAGAGAAGGAGACACAGAATCGGAAACAGGCTCCAGGCTCTGAGCCATCAGCCCAGAGCCTGATGCGGGGCTCGAACTCATGGACCGCGAGATCGTGACCTGGCTGAAGCTGGACGCTTAACCGACTGCGCCACCCAGGCGCCCCAAAAAACCCAACATTTCTAAGAGCTTATGTTTTCTTCTAGGAGTTTTATGGTTTCAGGTCTTATGTTCAAGTCTATAATCCATTTGAGTTAATTTTCGTATATGGTATATGAAAATGGTTTAGTTTCTTTCTTTTGCATGTAGCTGTCTAGTTTTCCAATACCATTTCTGAAGAGACTATCTTTTCCCCACTATATATTCTTGGCTTCTTTGTCATAGATTAATTGAACATATATGCACAGATTTATTCCTGGGCTCTATTTTATTCCATTGATCTATGTATTATTCTCTTAAAAATTTTTTTTAATGTTTTTGTTTATTTTTGAGACAGAGACAGAGCATGAGCAGGGGAGGGGCAGAGAGAGAGGGAGACACAGAATCTGAAGCAGGCTCCAGGCTCTGAGCTGTCAGCACAGAGCCCGACGTGGGGCTCGAACTCATGGACTGTGAGCTCATGACCTGAGCTGAAGTCGGACGCTTAACTGACTGAGCCACCCAGGTGCCCCTGTGTCATTCTCTTTTAAACTGACTGGAGGTGACAATCTTATCACTCTGTCAAATCAAATAAGTCTGTTTATTTGACTATTTCATTTGAATGTCCTCCAAATGTCTTTGATATATATTAAAATATTTTCTCAGTGAATTTGGTGCACAGGCGGAGGCATAAGAAGGGAGAAGGTTTAGTGTGTTCAAATCTGAACACATCCCACTCTGTTGTTTCTTTCACTGGTGGCAATATGGAAGGAGTAAGGCATAAGTGTGATCTTCCCTGTCAGACTCAACAAGGCGTTGAGCATTTGTTGAAGTGTCCTTTTTCTGTAAGTAGGAGTATAGTATCACAACCTCTTTTCCACCAACTTTGTCCAATGTCAGCTTCCCTAATTTCATGTCTTTTCCCTGAAATACTGTTTTCTAGTTATGAACAAACTAATCATAACTTAGGGAGGTTTATATTTCATTTAAATATGATCCACTCTTATGAGTATCCCTCTGTTTCCTGACTGTCACAAACCACTCAGAAATCTGACTAAAGCTAGCCCTGCCCAGCCCAGCAATATAAGATTCAGTAGTTCTAGAGATGATGGGAAGTTGAAGTGGATTTGGTATTCTAGGTACACAGACGCTAAAGGCCTGAAGCTAAGAGAGCCAGGTTTAATAGTCTATGTTTGTGGGAAAGAGAGATGAGTCCATGGCTTTTGGATTTACCACAGAGCTAAGTTCAAAGCTCTACAAAGGCTTCACCAGATAATTTAAATTTCTTCATGTGCCCATAATTTAGTTGTATTCTTTTTCTTTTTTGTTTAAAGCAAGTGAATCAAGTGTATTGAAGTATTTTGATAAAAATTATTTTAATGTATGGTTATTTTGATGGACATAATACAGTAAACTAATAGCTTCAATGCCATGTTCAAGTAAGAATCAACTGTTAATATTTAAAACAATCAACCCGAACTACCAAAGGCCAGATCTCATTCAGGTTATTTAAATTAGTCCTTCAGGTTTGAGTCAAAGATTTGTATGTTTATGTAAAGCACCTCACGTGGTTTTAATATGTAAGTAGGGCTGAGAATCACTGATGCAAAGAAATAGGTAATTAGGAGTAAATTTTCTTTTTACCTTCAATAATCCATTTACTGAAAGTCACTATTCCAGATGGTCACTCTTGTTTGTGGCATTAAAAATATTACTTCTCACTATAATACATTCACATTGTTGAATAATTATAATTTATTTATTTATTTTTAATGTTTATTTATTTTTGAGAGACAGACAGAGCATGAGCAGAGGAGGGGCAGAGAGAGACGGAGACACAGAATCCTAAGCAGGCTCCAGTCTCTGAGCTGTCAGCACAGAGCCAACACGGGGCTTGAACTCATGAGCCGTGAGATCATGACCTGAGCTGAAGTGGGATGCTTAACTGACTGAGCCACCCAGGTGCCCAATAATTATAATTTATAAAGGATACACAGAGGGGAATATCTGTAGTGTTGAAATAAACATCAGCAATTACCACTTGACTAAAAGTTATAAAAAGAATATATGCTGCTTATAAAACTTCAAAGTAGGGGAAAAATTCCCCACCCATACCCCATGTTCCTTTTTTCTCAGAGGAGTAGACATCTAAGGTCATTATGTTCTCTGGTATTTCCCTTATGTTACATCTTCCCTAAAATTTAGCAACAGCATTGAGCTGATGGAAACTACAGGAAAGATCCAGAGCAGGTGGGTTTGTTCACCGTCAGAGCAGAAGCCACAGTAGGGCCACTGGTTGGCTAACAGGGACTGTCATGTAACTCTGAGGTGATGCTGTTTCTGAAGTAAAGTACACAAGGCTGAGTTAAATAGAAGGAAGACTCTTACTTCCTCCAGTCTTGACAGCCTCTTTATAACTCTGACTCTGTAACTTTCTTGATTTTTTTTTTTTTTTATTTTAGTATCTTAACCTTTTTTTTTTTTTCACTTGCTATTTTGCAAAAGCCTCACTTACAGTTCACTGTATGATTTCCTGCTGTTGAAGAAAGTATGTGAAAGGGGAGTTTTTCCTGGGCACTTTTGGGTGGGTAACTGTTTAAATGTGTGGATAATCTGCACTACGACTTCTGTGCCTCTGGGAAAAAATTATTTCTGGTGCACTCTGAATTCTGTAGTGGTGCCAATATTGTCAATATTAGATACAAAAAATAACTTCTTAAACTTTGCAACTTTTCAGAAAGCAAATGCAGTCGCCTTATTATATTGAGTTTTCTAGGAATGAAGCCAAGAGGAATGAAAGAGGCTGTCTCTACCCCATCACGAGTGGCTCACAGGGATCAGGAGTGGTATGATGCTGAAATTGCCAGAAAACTGCAAGAGGAAGAAATTTTGGTGAGCAAATTTTCATGCAAAAGTTTAGGTGATAATCACTAAGTTTTCTTGAATAAAATTTGAGATTATGTGATAGGCATTGTGATCCTCTATGAGTTGAGTATGGGTGGAAAAGCAAGATAACAGGAATAGAGTGTCCAGTTTTACTTACTGAGTAAGCATTACCATCATAATTCCATATCCCTATCTGCTGTGGAACATGATAAAACAGTCCTGCTCTGGCTGGTGGCTGGTGAAAGTATACCAGTTAAACTTCAAGGATGTTACTTACAGCTGGTTTGAAATACCCGTGTATTTCTATGTAAGATTTTTAAAAATGGACAACACAGATTCTAATTAAATTACCCTTTTTTTTTTTTTTTGTATTTTTTTGTACCATAGGCTACCCAGGTAGACATGAGAGCAGCTCAAGTAGCCCAGGATGAGGTGAGTTCTTATTAGTTAATAAGTTTTTGAACTAATACTCGTCAGAAGTAGCCCAGTAATTTTCTGCCCATAACTCTGCAATCAGTGGTACTGACTGGATGTTTTTTAGGAAATTGCTAGACTCCTCATGGCTGAAGAAAAGAAAGCTTACAAGAAAGCCAAGGAGAGGGAGAAATCATCTTTGGACAAAAGAAAGCATGACCCTGATTGGAAGGTAAGTTCTGTTTATTGTTTTTATCTTATCTTATTTTATTTATTAATTAATTATAAAGGGGACTCTGCTTTTAGGGTAAGTTCTACCAGTGTATTTGGCATACACAAATTACTTGTATTGCATATGCAAATCTGACTCGTAAATGTTATTTCATTACAAAAAATCATAATTCTTCAAAGTAACCATGAGAAAGTAACCGCTAAGATTGAAAAACTTATTCCATTCATTTTAATACCAATTAAGTTGCACATGCCACTGGTCATGAGTAATCTAAGTTTTACATATTAGTAAAATAGGTAAATATTATTACGTTACAGGAGAATGTAGTATTTTCACATGCTTTCATGTTTCCCCAGTGGCCTTTTCTCTCTCTCTCTACTTTCTCTCTGTCCATCCGTGATCATGTACCCACTGTTTCTCTTTCCTCTGACATAACTAGATCCGTGGCAGGCTGACACATACCACCAGCAGCCATCTCCTGTCAGAGTATAGGAACTGCCTAGCATGAGCTGGGACTGTTGTCTTCCACTCATTAATCAGGAACACTAGACAAAATGGTTACTGACCACAGTTTATTCTTCTATAGTCTAATTTTTGTACGAGGTGGGTGCAAGTTCAGTTTAACAGACTGCACTCATTAGTTACTGTGTGCACTGCACCACTGTGGACTTGCAGGGAAAGAAAAAGATATATTTTCCTCATAATAATATATAACGTAGGAGGAAGACAAACTAGACAGGTAACAAATACAGGGTTGAATTGGCTGAAGAAAGCATAGTAGAAGAACAGAGGAGTTGCTGGGGTCAAGAATTCCTATAGTAGAGGCTTTTCAGAGGGAGTTTGTACTAGGCCTGGGAGGTCGCAGCTAGGGTGTGTACCCACGCATAGTTGATGTTTAGCGCTGTTCTCTCTTTCTCTTCTCTCTCAAACAAATTCCTGCCTTGGATCTCTGGTTCGGTCTGAGTCTCAGCATTGATTAGGAGGAAAAAGAAGACATAGAAACCATGATAATCGTATTGCTCTGCTATTTCCTATTGCTCAGTTATTCAGTTGTCGGTCGAAAAACAAATGAAAGTATTTTTTCCATGTTAATTATTTATAGGTATCTCCTTCTTTCACCCTCCTAGTAATTCAGGATTTTTCCTGATGTATTTTATTTTAAAAGAAGGGCTCCCAAATGCTTCTACTTATACAAATTTAAGCTACAAATAATTGCCCAGAAGTTACTTAGATTCTTTGTTAACCCAGCTATGAAGGAGTAGGTATTTTTGGGGATTGCACATCAGGCAGGTAAAAGGGGAAAGGTCGCATGTCTAGCAAGTGTTCTAGCAAATTAGAGTCTGATTTCTAGATTCTATAATTGGTGCTGGTAGAGTTCTTCTCTTAGAAAGGTTGGACTGAATGTTCCTTAGTTTCCTAGCTTGAAAATCACCATCCCCGAGTCAGATTTTCAGAAATAGGTTTAAGGGCTCAGACCAACATTCCACAGACTGGAAGTTCTGGTCAGCTGCTGTGCAGCTATTATGTTAATAATGGGTGTCCAGGTGTATTCCTATGGGGGAGCATGTTCATGTGTATGTCGCCGTTCATCTGGCTGCATTGACAGCTTCCAGCATACTTTTGTGACTGTAATTTTTTTTAAATCTCTGAGTGGCCATATGTAAAAATATTTCATGTTGTTCGACTGAATGTAAGTAACTTGAAACTACTAGAGTTTGGCATGATTTAGATATTTTCTAAACCTAATAATCTTACTTTTGTTTTCTATATGTGTGCTTTTCTTTTCTTTCATTTTTTTTCCTTCTTTTTCTGTCCATAGCCAAAAACAACTAAATCGGCACACTCAAAGTCAAAAGAAAGTGATGACCCTCACCGTTCTAAGAATGACAGGCCAGCAAGGTAAGATGACATTTGAAGAGGGGAGTATGGAACTTGACTTTGGGGTGAGTAAGGAGTTGTGGATTGTCTGAGAAGAGTATTCTCTGGAGAGGAGATCCAGAAATCGGCAGCTGTGAGATGGTATCAAGTCTTATGGGAGTATTCTCAAATTTTGTTTGCATTCTTTTTTTTTTCTTTTCAATTTTATTTTTTATTTGTTAAAATTTACATCCAAATTAGTATATAGTGCAACAATGATTTCAGGAGTAGATTCCTTAGTGCCCCTTACCCATTTAGCCCATCCCCCCCACAACCCCTCCAGTAACCCTCAGTTTGTTCTTAAATTGGGTTGAACAAGTCAAATCAGGAAAATGATCATTTTACTGGAAACTAGGGTTTATAAAGAATGATATGTTTTTTGGTAGGACCAGTTCCTGTCTTTGGATTCACTGAACTGATGCCCTTGGCTAAGAAGGGATGAGATTGATGTTTTTCCCAGTAAAATCCCAGGTTTTAAAGTTTTACCAAGTTTTATGGTCACATTGGTATGTGCATGATATTTACACATGCTTAAATTCATTTCTGCATGAGTCTCAAAGCCTTGGCAAACACTTAGTTTGAGTCATGGCAGTCTATTCTAAATCCCACTAGATCAAGTAGCTGTGGCTGTGGTGTATGTACTTGCTGACTTCTCTCAAACAGCCTTGGGTTTCAGTTATTGGACCAGTTGCTATCTTTCTACCTAAGTGTAGACAACATTTAAGTCTCTGGGGAAGCAGAAAGCAACCTTTTTTTTTTTTTGTTTTTGGTCCTTTATTGATTTTCGTTGCTTTTCAAAACAAAACAACATAATTGGACTAGAAAGAGAGAGTATTATATACAAAAAGACAAAAGTAACACTGAGTCTAACACTTTGAAAACTGTTAAAACCTTGAATTTTCATCCTAATTATTAATATCTGTTTTAATTCTAAAACATAAATTTTATCACACTGAAAAACATATAATGTTGTTGCCACTCATTGCCCACACTTAAGCTGCTAGACTTGTTTTCTTAAAGTGAATATATTTAGTGTCTTTAAAAAGCCATAGTCTATTTTTAAACTCACGGGCTTTCAGAAAGTAAATATCCTTTGGAAAACTACATCAGGTTTGTAAAGCTCTTAGGGCAACACTAGTATATTCTGTCAATTGTATAAACTTGGTTCTTCTTGTATCTTTTAGTTAAGCACATGCCAGAGGTTTCTTTATGGCATACTTTATAATTATGTACTTTTATTTTCATCCCTGCAATATCCAAGTTAAAAAAGGAGTAACTCATCTGTTCTCAGTAGGTTAATAGGTGTGGTTTATTATGCTTTCTTTAGTCAGCTGAATTAAAATCTTTAGGCTTACTCTGCAATCTTCAAAACTTGTGGGCTCTTTAGAACACTAATAATTTTCATATCAGATATGATAGAACAATCTGTAATGGCTATTTAAAAAGATGTATTAAAGTTGAAAACAAGTTTTTGAAATATAATACGTACTTTTAAAAATATTTAGCATATTGAAAGAATGAATAATCAAATGATCCTGTATTAAAAATGGCTATTATAAATGAATGAAAGTCACCTATGACTGGTAGAACTGACTGGAGAGAAACATTTGTCTTTAAGTATCGGTTACAGAAAGATTTTTTGTGTAGATACAGATACAGATACAGGTAACAAAAAAAAAATTAGAATTTTACGAAATCTCTATTTTCATAGTTAGAAATTAAGCCTAGTATTATAGTTGCCTTATACAACTAATACTGGAATATATGCTTTCTGATTAGAGTCTATGGTTTCCTCTTTCACATTTTTTCCCCTTTTTTTTTCTCCTTCACATTTAATTATAGTAGATTTAGTTAGCTATTTGTACAGAAAGAGATGGTTTCAGGGATTGAAAAACATGGAGCTTCCTAGGTCTAGAAGTTTACTTCAGTGTAGTGATAATAGTAGTAGAGGGAAGACAAGTTATTGGGAGGAGCTTATAACATTCATGGTCAAGAATCAGTTTCTTTGTCCATTACTCTATCTAAGGAAATGGAGTATCAGCTGGCAATCTGAATTAACTTCAACTCTTTGTAACTGGAAAAAGTTTCAACCAAGTTCCAAAATCTTTTAAGTATAGTATTTTATACTGATACTACTACCTGGTGTTTTATTTACATTTTTCTCTTAGAAAAGAGACAACTTTATCTTAGAGTAAGCAGCAGTTACCAAGAAAGAACTGCTTCCTGTTCTCATGAAATTTATCATCTAAGCAATTATACAAATAACCATTATGTTGAATGCTTTGGATGAAAAGTGCATGGTATTATAAGAAAAGAAGGAGACAGCCTAGTCTGGGTATCTAGGAGGGCCTCTTCAATGACTTCTGAGTAAATTCTGAAAGGTATTTTGCCTGGATTGCTAACTTAAACATGTAAGTCATTTCATGAGAACAACAGGAAACAGGTATTCCCAATACATCAAAACTATAAAACAAACTGTTGGTTAACAGGATTTTTCTAATTTTGGATGTGAATACCCTTCACTTTAAAATAACTATCTCCAGTGCAGTGAATCTGTTTGATAGGGATCACTGAACGCCATAAGCCAAGATTTGTCCTCTGTATACAATCAGAAACTAAGGAGAACAGCATGCAAAGAGAACTGAGGGCATTCTAGATTGACTTGTTTTACCCTAGTGGATGTGTGGGAGTTCCGTGCAGTGTTGCACATGTTGACATCCTTTTCCTTGATGAGGAATTGATCGTGAGGTAGTAATATTGTTTGTTTATTTTTAGGAGTCCCATTTGGCTTTTGTTTTTCTGGGTTTTGATCGTTTGATATAAGAGTTTGCAAAAATGTAGAGATGAGCCTCTGCTCCCTGATTCCCAATCCCTTTTTCTTGGGTCTAAGTTACTTCTTCAACCACCTGTTTTTTGAAGTTGAGTTTCTTAATTCTAGTTCAGATGGTTTGTCTCAACTCTTCCTGCCAACTCGTAACACTGCTTTTTAAGGTAAATGTTATGTCAGTCGATAACAAAAGAAAAACACTATTTAATATTTAATATTTGTTAAACACATAGTTCAAAGTGAAAAATAAGAAAAATGAAAAATACCATATCATTTGTTATGCTTACATTAATTATATGTGTAACAAATGCATGAAAGTATTAAAATATAAGCCAAATACCATTTAAAAGTATAATATACAGACTATATATATATGTATATATATATACATATGTATGTGTGTATATGTGTACATATATGTGCATCTGTGTATATGTATACGTGTATATATGTACATAAATGTATATATACACACATATATGTGTGTATATATATGGATATATATATATATCCACACACACATATGCATATGTGTGTATAGTCTTGGATGCAGATACTACTGCTGATAAAAATACACATCTATGTAGCAGACCATAGCATATTAAGCAGCACAAATTTTGAAGTCTAGGTGAGTTTGAGTCCCAGCCCTGCCACTTAACAACGGTGTGTGCTTGGACAGATAACTTACTTCATCTCACCTAATTTAACTCTAAAATATGTGTATGACAGTTACCATGCAGCTTGTCCTGAAAGTTAATTGACATCATCTGAGTAGAACCCATACCACAGTCCTCAGTATATACACAAGTTTGTATCCTGTGGTGACCTGTTGTAGACACTGAATACCGAAGGAGACAGAGTGAGAAATTTGAAATCACGTGTCTATATTCTTCTATGAAAGAGACTTTTGTACCAAGGTTACCATAACTTTCTGAATTGCAGTATACTTATGCCTTCCAGCTACAAAAAGCATCGTACAACATGGTTAGATATTTGACACATTATGTTACCGATCTGGTTCCATGCTTTAACATAACATTTAAGTGTACCTTTGAGAAGCAACAACCACAAAAAGGAGAGATTTTGTTCTTCATCTCATCAATGTCAAATTTTTGCAAAAAATCTATGTAACATAGTTTTAGAATAATAAAAATTTTAGAGTAGGAAAAATTTCCCAATGTTTGTTTTTTTATATTTTGTCTTCTTTTGACATGAAAAATTGCCAATGTGTGACTGTCCTTTCCTTTTGTAAGCTCTGCTTTGCCACCTAGTGGAATTAGGAACTTTGCTCTAAATTTTATATGCTGACCCTTGTCCTCTCCTTGCCCTCTCCTACTTCCCTCTCCTCCCTCCTTATGTGACACCTGTCCTCCCTTTTTTTTTTCTTTCCTTAACTTTCTTTATTACTTCCCTTCTGTTCTTTCCTTTCGTCCTCTTTTTCTTCATAAAGCTTGCCAAAACAAAGTAAATTTCTCATTAACAGCAGCAGTCACACATCTCAATAATCTTTGCTTCCCTAGCCCTTAGCACAGTGCCCCACACATATTAGGTGTTCAGTAAATATTTGTTTTTATTGAGTTATGTGCATCAAAGCAAAGGTTACAGTAAGCTAAAATAATTTACTCCCAAGGTTATGCAACAGGCCAGGAACTAAGATGAGAATTCTGCTACCCTGTGGCTTTGCATTTCTACCAAAAAAAAAAAAAAAAAGTTTTTATCCTGCAGTCCATTGGGAGGTGGCTCTGTAGTCATCACGACTTAGACTGTCTCTTTAAATTCTGACTTCCCTTCAGGCCACCACCGCCTACCATGACAGAAGCTGAGGATTTGGATTACACTCATGTTACAAACCAGCATAATTCCACACGTCATTTCTCAAAATCAGAATCCTCTCATAAAGGTATGAAAAATAGATGTGGTCAAGTTTAGGATTTTTTTTTTTTTTTTATAATGCTTATGCTATGGTGGAAAAATCAAATTGTGTCTTATATGTCACTGGAGTGGTAAAATAAATTATCCTTCCTTTTTCGAAGCTCATTATAGTATTCTTCATTTGTTAAAAAACCAAAAAGGTAAAACAGAAAACATAACACCTTAAAGTGAGTACAAGATTGTCAATGTATGTGCATTTTCCTCCAGAGAGAATTTATAGCTTTCATCATGTTGTTAAAGGGTGCCTGTAAACAAAACAAATGAGCAAGGGCAAAAGAAAAGAGAGTGAGAGACAGACAAGCCAAGAAAACAGACTGGTAACTATAGAGAACGCACTGATGGTTACCAGAAGGGAGATGATGGGGGTGGGTTAAATAGATGATGGCGATTAAGGAGTGCACTTGTGATGAGCCCTGGAGATGTAGGGAAATGTTGAATCACTGTGTTGTATACCTGAAGCTAATATTATACTGTATGTTAACTAACTGGAATTAAAATAAAAACTTAAAAAAGAGAAATAAAATTTAAAAAATAAAGTACACACATATACATCACAGAAAACTTCTGTCACACAAAAGAAAATGGAGACAAAGGAAGTGAAGAAAGAATATAAGGTCTAAGTTAGACCAAATCTTTATTTTATTTATTTTTTTTGGACCAAAAAGTTTTGTTATTTTTTAAACAGCTCTCCTTACCCCATCCCTTTCCACTCTGGCATCCAGAGTTGATAGTAACACAAAAGGCAGTATTTAAAAAATGGAATTGGGGGTGCCTGGGTGGCTCAGTCATTTAAGCATCTGACTCTTGGTTTCAGGTCAGGTCACGATTTCACGGTTTGTGAGATCAAGCTCAGTGTCAGGCTTTGCACTGACAGCGGGGAGCCTGCTTGGGATTCTCTCCCTCTTCCTCTCTCTCTGCCCCTCCTTGCTTATACTTTCTCTCTCAAGATAAATAAATAAACACTTTTTTTAAAAAGATGGAATTGTTTGGACGTTATCAAAACAACCCTGTACACTACAATTTCTATCAGTTGTTGGCTTTTTTATCATCACTGGATTAACTGAAAGTAGCTCATGATTTTTTTTCTCAGTTTATATATATGCATTACTTCTTAGGGGATGCCTTCCTGTCTTTGACATACATTTGATACATAATTGAAAATAACACATTGATTCTGTATATATTTTATAATCAGGAACAAAGAAAACATGAACCATTTGAAATGCATAGAGATAAAGATAAATTATTTTGCCCGAGCAGGGAGAAAACAGTTTTAAAGGTTTTTTTCTTAATGGTGTTTCTTCTCTTTTTCTTCTTTCCAAGGTTTCCATTATAAGCAGTAAAAACCTAGGAATCTGCCTTGAAAACGGACTCACTGTAGCAAATATTACTGGATGATACAGAATGCATTCCACGCTCATTTTTTTCTTCCTTCCTCTGTTTGTATTCCTGGGATTTACCTTCAAGTGTTTTTTAGACCATAAACAATCTTAATTCATTCAGAATGTTTTGGTTATTCCTGATCACTTGGGCAGTATAAGAAAATCTAGCTTCTGAATGTTGGCCACCTCTATGCTGCAAATGCTTCGTGGGATATAGTATCTAAAAGCTCTGTAAAATGCCATTTTTGTTAGGTATGGAGTACTGGTATCTAGAGACTAGGCTTTATTTAGCTAGCAATTAGAATTTTGTGGAGATAATGATCAGAGTAAAACACAATGTTTGGGTGCAATGCAGAATAAAAGAATATAACAAATAGCTTTTTTCGTGCATTAGTGTATGGTATATTGAAGAAAGAATCTTTTGGTTTTTGTATTCTCCAGGGAAATATTAAAAATCAGAACCATAAAGTGTTAAAAAAAACAAACAAATCTGGAACAGTTGAAACATGTTATTTTGGCCACCAGGACTCTAGCGGTTTTCCATATCCTTCTAAGCCCTCTTGGGAGAATTGGCTCAGATGGCATTCCCAGACACTCTCTCTGCTGTTGCTTTCTATAGCAAGGCTTTCTGAGGCCTCGGGGTATTGGGCTATTTATTAGTATTTATTGGCAAAAGTTTAATTCTATGAAATTTTAACTCAGGGCTATGCAAAGTCCATTGAACATGAAAAAGTGAAAAACTTTTGTATCCCTTCTCTTGTTTTACATTGTACGTAGAGAGCCAAGGGCAGTGGCTGGAGTTGGTAAGATGTTCATTCATATGAGCGATGATGCCATCTTTCTCTCTGGACACAGATTGAAGTTTTCCTGCTGCTTAAAAAACAGCAGGTTTTGTTGGCAGCCACTCAAAAAATATTTTGTGTATCTGTCAATAATCAGATTAATTCGACATGAAGTTGAAGTAGATAAAATGGTTCTTTATTCAGGTATTTGGTTCGACGCATTTGTCAGTGATACATGGCATCAGATTCCATTGTACAGGACCTTTAAAGCCCTCTTTGAGAAATCTAGTCTCTGTCTAGCTTCTAACCTTGTGGAAATACTTATTTTCCCATTCTAGTTAGTTCACATAAATGGCAATCATGTGACATATATAAATAATTTCCTTTCAGCTTGACTTTGTGTTATTTTTCATCGTATGAATCTGACGTTTTGACATTCAAGTATGGTGTTTGCTTAGGAAGGAGATACCTAGGTCACTAGAGGAAAGGCTGTTAATCCATTCTTTTCCCACTTGGAACTGCCTTTTTTGCCTTATCTTTCCAGATAGTCTTTCAAGTCAGGCAGAATTTAGGAAGCTGTTTAGGATAGTTTCTCAGAGTGGATTTGGGTCCTTCTGTTTTGAGAAAGATCTTTATTAGTTCATAAAGTTTTTGATTGTAGAAACTTGGGTAAAAGAGCCAACTTTTAGGAAAATGATGATCTAGGAAGAAACAAACCCTAAGAGATGTAGTCATTTTCGAGAAATGGGGAAAGAGAAAAAAACAGGACTTTGAATGACCATGATGAAATTAATGAGGCAGAATCTTCATTGACATAGGCAAGGGCAGACAAAATGGAGGACTGAGCCTTAGCCAAATTCTAGAGGGCGGTTTCAGTATCCAAGGCTGAGGCCTTGTTGGCTTAAAGTAATGCTGTATTTTTCTTTGTCTGCCCTGTGATTTTGCTTCATGTTTTAAAAAGTTTTCTCTGGTAACTTTAAAGAAAAAAAAACACAATGTATTTTTATTTGATAGTTAAACAAATTATTTTTATTTCATAAATGTTTATTTTTCTATCTCATACAATGACCAGTTTTACTTTAAAAATTCTGCATTTATCTTACCTCTCATGTACTTTATCCAATCATATTTATTATTGTAAAATGCTGTCTGGAGACATTTTCATTCAAAAAATGTCAGGCCATTTAACCCCTGGATATTAGTGTTTTAGCTGTCTTAGTGAGTGGCCAGAGGTCATAGATCCCTGTGACACCCAATTCAACATCTGTATTGAAAATGTGTTCCTTTTTTTTCTAGGTTTTTAAAAATTAAGAATTTTAAAATATTTTAATTTTATTTTTTTTTGTAAAGCAAACACTTTTTAAAGAGTATCAGAGTAATTCCGTTCCTTTTATTGGTTTAATTCTCTTACTGTCATTCAAAGATGATAATTATTATTTTTAAGACTATAGAAGTTAACTAACAACTCTATTTAAAGGAACTGCCAAACATTCCTCACTGTGTTCTCTGCTTTTCACGTTGTTATTTTTATAAAAATGTGGAAACATTTCTTTTGTTCCTCTTTCTACTGCTGGAAGACAGACAATTGAATTTTTAGGCCCACAATGTATTATGCTCTAATGTTACGATGTAAACTAATGCTCTGGCCTTGGAAAATCTTTGTTTCTATACCTTTCTCTGGAGGCGCCATTAACACTAGTACTGCTGAATGAGCACAGTATGGAACCTTATCATAAGGCTACTGAATGTGTATACCTTCTGCCCCCCAACTAGCTTTTTGTAACTCATTGCCTGGAAGCAAGGTCAGGTAAGGGTCAGATTAAATGTTCAGAGCTGAAAAAGTTTGTAGTGTGAAACCATTGTTAGACATGATTACTTTATGGGGGACTGGACAGTTGCTACATATGCTTTAAAAGAACATTGAGATTTTTAGAAAGAGACTTTGCATAACTTTGAGCTACTTTTTCTCAAGTGACTTTACAACAAGCAGCAACAGACTAATGGACGACCAAAAAGACTTACAGGTTTTGATCATAGAGAAACATCTAAATTAGAAAAGAATGATATGGATAGATGTTTCCCAGGAGGAAAACCTTTTCAGATTTTCAGTGGCCACTTGGATGTAGATCAGCATATGCCAAGGTGTGTGACCTTGGGCCTTGTGGTCCACTGAACTCTAGAAAATTGTGAACCGGACTCATTTTCCCCTTTTCTTCTCTTCTGTGGTCTGCAGCTGAACTGGATGATGAATAAACTCATTGCTAACCTTGTCCACACTTTTCCATCCATGTCAGGACTTTTCAGTATAAAAATAATTAACTTTTAATGGAGAATTATTTTTCTTCAATACTGTCAAAATATTCTCTAGTTTTTGTCTTGTGCCAAATTGTTCTTTGGGAACACCTGCTATATAATATGGTGCATTCAGTTTACCACATCAGTGGTTAACGTTTTAGGGCCTTGATTTTTAACGAGTGTTGCCTTGTATAAAAATCACTTTGGGGAATATCAAGATTATTCATTTATTCAGTGATGATTTTCTTGAAAGATAATTATGGTGACTGGCTGTAAGATCTTCCCTGTAAATAAAGGAATGAGACCCTTGTGTGATCAGCTTTCTGAGGGACTGAGAACAGAATAGAACTTGCACTGAAAGACTTTTTTTCCCTCTTGGGAAAACAGTATTTGTGTAGGGAATGTTAATGTGAAAGGGAACACGGTTCAGTTAGATTTCACTGGATATATTGTGCCATATTCTTAGAACACCGGCTTTTTAGAAACAATCATAAAATAACCAAAACCTGTTTTTTCAGCCAAAAGGAAAAAACAGATTTTCAAAGTACTTTGTCCTTTACTTACTGCTCATAGTCCGAGAAGCGACTAGATAAAGTGGTCCCTCCCATTTTCTCCTCCTATCTGGTGGTGCCGGTGCCTCTTAAAGCCATAGCTGCTTATCTTACCTTTGATAGAATCCTGTTTTTCTCCTTAGCTTATAACAGGTAATATGATCAGCAAGGAACAAACTGGAGACTGTCCTGATAGTGCTGTATGGGGCAAGGTGTCATCCAAATTCCTCTTCAGAGAATCTCCTTTGTCCCTGATGACACTTAGGATTATGAAAGGGAAGAGTCCAGGCTGTTGTTGCTCCTGCCCTTTAATTGTGATTAGAAATGCTGAAATTTAATTCCAGAGAAGTCAAAAAGGAAGGGGCAAACTGGCAGATTTCAGGTCTTACAGAGTCACTTTTCTGATGAGACTTGCACTTTTTGCCAGCAATGTCTTGGGGAGCTGTATTGCCTTAAATTAGTTTGATTCTGACTGAGGTCAGTGTACTGTATTTCCTGTATGTGAATGACTATCAACTCTCCACTGAGATATAAAATTCACAGGTGATCCCAAAACATCCTTGCTGTCAGAAACTTTGGACTTCCTCCCACTGAGCTATGGCTGATGTATTCACTGATAGATCTATCACTTCATTGAGTTGCCTCTCAATCTGTGAATGAGCAGTGGCATGACCAAAAAGGCTGGTGGAAGGAGAGTGAGAATTTCTTGGCCAGATTCTTCAGGTTATCACTTCCTGAGTAACTGAGAGTTGACTGTCTTTTCTATAGTAACTACGTAGAAGATATTTCCAAAGGTTGTATTATGTAGTCAAGTCACTTATTATTGTTTTGTGAAAATTAAACCCAACACTCTTGTGTTTTTAATACCATTGACAAAAAAAGGGAGAAAACCAAACAAAACAGAGACATTTAGTTGAAATGAGAGAACTGTTGATGTGAAGAGTGTTTCTATTTTATTGCTTTTAGGAGAAAATTAACCAGGAAAACTTTTACTATGGTAAGGAAGACACCAGAGTGTTTTTATAAAGTTGTATTTGATGCCATAGACTAACAGAATCATCTAAGAAATCATGTTGATTTGTGGAAATATCTAGTCCTGAAAACCATCTTCTTCCCTTATATATTTGTGAATACTGCCTAAGAACATATTCCTAATACATTTAATATGCTGTGGTGTGTTCTCAGCAAGCTAGAAAATATTTTTTTCTTTTTGAATAACTTCATAGCCTAGTGAGCCAGCACTGTGCTTGTTTCCACATTTCAGATAAGGACGGAATTAATTGTGCATCTTAGTTAGTGCTCCATTGTTCATTGTTGAGGTTCACATACAAAGAATAGAATTGAAAGACAGGGTTTTTGAGTGACATGTCCTTTACCAAAAAGCAAGGAATAAGAGCAGTAAAAAGACAGTTAAGAAATATACTATTACACATTGCATACTTAGGGTATGTTTTTGTTGCACTAAATTTCAGATCATAATTGGTAAAATAGTTTCTAGCTATTAAATTTAGTGAGAGGGTTTTTGATGTCAGAATTTTTTTTTTAATTTCTGATTGAATTAGCCCTTGAAATCACCGTAGGCTATAACTTGAGCTCTTGCTATAAACCGAAAGCCAAATGCCCTTTTTTCAGAAATAACTATATTTTTTACCTGCCTCTTAAACGCAGCCCACTATTTATTTCATGAAGTGTTATAAATAATGAGGAGATAGAGTGGGAAGATAGCATATAAAAATGGTGTTCCACAATGAGAATTCTCTGTAATGGGGTTTCCCTTAAAAAGAATCCATCCCAGCACAATATTATATTTTGAAAAGGTGCTGAATTATAAAGTACAAGAGTATGCTCATATAAATCAAGTTGCTCAGGAAATTAGAGGTGGTGCTGTCATTTGTCATATAATTTGGAAAAGTGCTTTCCTGAGGGAGATACTGCACAATGCCCAGACAGTCTCAGAGTTTTTGGTAAGCCCTTTGGCATCTGGAATGTAGATATGTTTAAAAACTGAGTGAGATCTTAACCCAAGTGCTTACCAATTTGTAGCCATGCCCAGAAGGAAAGGCAGTTTTGAAATAGCTACTTCATGGAAATGAGCAGAACCTTAATGGAAAATAGTTGTCTGAGGACAGAAAGCAAAGAGGCCACCTCAAACCACATGCCTATTTAGAGATTAAATGAAACTGTGAGGGACACTCTGTGGATGCCTTAAAGGTGACTGGTGTTGAGTACTGGGTGGGTATGTACATACCCATCTGGACTAGGCTGATGGAAACAGTCTATTTCAGTTCACCTTCATACAGCACAAGTTGCTCCTGCTCATGACCTCATTGAGGACAATGAGAAACATGGTGCTGGTGACTTTGAAGTGTCTTGGGAGGTTGAGGTGGTAATGTCATTCAGCACTCTCCAGTGCTCAGGCCTCCCTTAAATGCCAGTTGTACATCTACATTAATTCATCTATGCAAGCTTGTGTTTTTATGGTTTATTTTCTATACTTCTGTCCCATTTGATTCTTTAAATATCAGGTTTAACATTAATATTATGAATAATTTTTAAACCAAAGTATGTATATGTCTGTGTGCTTGTTTTCCTGGATGTTTGAGGCAAACACCAATCTTGTCCTCCTCTCTCAATAAAATCATCCATTTGTTAAGTCAGTGGTCTCATGTTTTCTTTACTGCAATCAAGGACTTGGGAAGTTTTGGGGTAAGGAGTATTATTTTTTTTCTTTACGAAGTAACCCTAATATATCTTTGTTTAAGAACAGGGTCTTCCGTTATTCCAGTTCCATCCACTATAGCCCTGAATAGCACTGATGATGATATCCAGTACATCAAAACTGTCAACAAATGCCCCCAAGTCTCATACTGATACGTAGTACATTGAAGGCCTCAACAAATACTCCCACATCTAAATTTGGTTAGAGAAGTGGCTTTGTTCTGTGTGTGGTGGTTGGTGGCTTAGTTTGATGTCTCTGGGAGAAAAACAGGTAAGTGGGTGTTCACATAATAATCTGAATGCTGCAAGACTCCATGAATGCAACAGCTCTTGTCTGCACTATACCTGGTATTCCATGGATTTTGAGAAAACAGATTTAGTAACAACTACCATTTAACATTTTATCTTTATAAGGTTTGTTTCTTCTTTGGTTTGATAGAGTAAACCATGCCATGGAATATACATGCCATGGAAACCGATGCTGCAGAAATTAGGAGGTAACTTAAAAATAAGATACTATTTTTCATGACTACTAAAGGATTTGTAAAGAGGTATCTAGCTTCCCTGAAATGCATTCCCTAGGCCTTAGTTTCTTCTTTGGCAAATACAGGAAATCTACATGCCCTCTGTAATATATCTGTGCTGCATATCACTACCATATGCATAAGGAACACCAGTGATGTGCAGGTGTTGTTAAAGAAAGTTGGTTGATTTCAGCCTTCCTTTTCTGAAGAATTAATCAAAGTTGACAGTGAAAAAAGTTGACATATCTAGAGGCCAATTAAAAAAAATTAAATATGTGATTAAAGTAGCCCCCTTTAATTTGTGGTAGGAGGTACCTGGTATGATTGGGTGGATTTTGTGTACTGTGGCTGAGTGAGTGTTAAGCTGTGGCCATGTAGTGTGGTAGGGTGCTGCACACTACAAAGCCCTTTAAAGGTAGCCAGGAGAACGTTCACCTCCTACACCTTGGAAATTGGGTGAAACCTTTAAGAAAGCTTTGGATTACTACAAGTCACAGGGCAGGGGCAGGGGTTTGAAAACTTTATTAGCTCCCCATTATATTTGGGTTACGTGCTTAAACAAAACCTCCAACATAGTGTACAATAAATCAACAGGAAAAAGAGACCTGGGTGCTAGTCCTGGCTTTGAACTTACTTCAGGGCCTTGGGTCACCACGTAGTCTCTGTAACTCTGTTCTGTTACATACACTAATAAGCACATTACAATGAGAGTTGGTGATCTCTAATTGCTCCTTTGGGTCTAGCATTCTGGAATTCCTGCTGTCAGTGGCTGCTAGGTTCCTTTAAGATGCCCCAGAAAACGAGTAGCCTCATAGTACTGGGGGCCTGGAAAGTCACAAAGACTTCTAGACACTCAGCTGAAAGGCCTTATTCCTGATCATGTGTTCTTTTTAAATTTTTTTGTTTATTTTTGACAAAATTTGTACTGTGAACAATGTGATGTTTTGGTATGTATACCTTGTGAAATGATTACCACAATGAAACTAACACAGCTGTCATCTCCCACAGTTACCTTTTGTGTGTGTGTGTGTGTGTGTGTGTGTGTGTGTGTGTGTGTGTGAGAGAGAGAGAGAGAGAGAGAGAGAGAGAGAGAATGCTTGAGAATGCTCAGTAAATTGCAAATATACAGTATATTATTATTAATCATAGTCATCATGCTGTATATTAGATCCCCAAAACTTGCAATTGAATGTTTATGCCCTTTTGCTGATCATGTGTTCTTGGTTGTACTCTCCTACTGCTAACCAAAATCTGTCTATCTCTATTTTTATTACTCTCAAGCTTCATGAGCCTCCTTTACCAAATAGTCTTTGGATGTTCTTGTGAGCTTTTGTACATCCCATTGTCATAACTTGCTTTTCATACTCTCAAAACACACTTTTGTTACCAATTCCTGAACTTAACTACACAGATTTGGTTTTGGTCATGTTAATCATGACATACCCTTAATTACACCTGCCACACTTAATTATCTGGTGTCATTACTGACCTAATCTGGGCCCTCATGAGCAGTGCAGTCACTGCCTGCCTGACCTCGGGAAGCCTCTTCAACTCACCTGTCAACCTCTGCCCTCATACCCTTCACCCGGCCTCGGGCTCTCACACAGAACTAGAGGCATGTGTTTGTATGTGAGTATGTGTGTCTGCAGGTATAGCTGGCAGTAGCTCTAAACAGTGTATGTATAAATGACAATGAACTTCTCTGGTCTGGAGAGGTGAGTACCAAGTGGTGTATATAAATTTTTCCTTTTATGGATCATGCTTTGGGGTCATGTCTTTACAACTCTTTGTCTCATCCTCAAGATTTTGATTGTGTGTGTGTGTGTGTGTGTGTGTGTGTGTGTATGCATATGTATGTATATTTCTGTTTCATAGTTTTAAGTTTTACATTAGAGTCCTTTACTCATTTTTGAGTTAGTTTTTTTTAAATGTTTTATTTATATTTTGAGATACAGTGCACAAGTGGGGAAAGGGCAGAGAGAGGGGGGCAGAGGATCCAAAGAGGGTTCTGTGTTGACAGGCTGACAACAGCGAGCGTGATGTGGGGCTCGAACTCACGAGCCAGATCATGACCAGTGCTAGATTCGGATGCTCAACCAACTTGAGTCACCCAGGTGACCCTTTAGTTACTTTTTACATAAAGTGTGAAGTTTAGGTCAAGGTTTATTACTTATTTTTGTGTAGATATCCAACTGCTCCAGCACCGTTTGCTGGAGGCCATCTATCCTCCATTGAGTTGGCTTTTACAATTTTTTCAATAATCAGTTGAGTATATTTTGTGTATGTCTATTTTGGAGTTCTCTATTCTGTTCGTTGATCTGTGCCCCTCCCTTTGCTAGTATTCCAAGTGTTGATAACTGTAGCTACACAGTAAGCCTTGAAATTGGGTAGACTGATTTTTTGCACCCTATTTTTCCAAATTCTTTTAGCTATTCTAGTTCTTTTGCCTTAGCATATAAATTTTAGAATAGTCTTGTTTATATCTATGAGAAATATTGCTGGGATTTTGAAAGGAATTGCATGAAACTTCTGGGGAGAAATGACATCTTTACTGTGTTGAGTCTTTCAAAAAAAGACTACAAGTATGTCTCTCCAGTTATTTAAATCTTTGATTTCTTTAACCAGAATTTCACCATATGTGCTGTGTGTATGTTTTGTTAGATTTACTCCAAAGTATTTATTTTTGTGCAATTATTGATATTTTTGTTTCTACATATTCCTTGCTAGTATATGGAAATACATTGATTTGTATAATCCTTTTCGTATATTGATGAATTGCTAATATTTTTAAAGGAGTTTTGCATTTATTGTGAGGAATATTGATCTGTAACTATACTGTCTTTGATCGGATTTTATATTAGTGCATTGCTAAACATACAGGTTTTTTTCTTTTCTGTTTTCTCAATAAGATTGTATAGAATTGCTACTCTTTTTAATAAAAGTTTTATAAAAAATTCTCCAGTAGAAAAAACCATGTGTGCCTGGATGTATCCTTTTCGAGAGGCAATTTTAAATTAAAAATTCAGTTCCATTAATAGTTACAGGCCTATTCAAATTATGCATTTCCTATTGAGTTAGTGTTTTTTAAGGAATTGGCCATTTTATCCAAGATACTGAAATTCATGTGTGTAGAATTTTTGATGTATTCCCTTGTCTCATTGATGACTGCTGGGTTTGTAGCTCTATTTCATTCCTAAAAAAAAGTGTTCCTAAGTAAAACATTTAGTGATATAAATTCTATTTTGTTAAATTGCGTTGTTTTAGCTCTGCCACAAATTATTATATGTTGTGTTTTCACTTTGTTTTGTTCAATGTATTTTAAAAAAATCTCCCTGGAGACTTGTTCCTTGATGCATGCATTATTTAGAAATGTTATGTCTGATTTTTGTCCATGTTTTTGGAGATTTTCCTTGTATATTTGTTTCATTTCTAGTTTGGTTCTCTTGTGGTTAGAGGACACACGGTGCATGATTTCATTTCTGTTAAATTTGTTGAGGTTTGTTTTAGGTCCCTGGATATTTTCTGAGTATATGTTCCATGAAAAGAATGTGTATTTTGGTTTTGAGTGGAGACTTCTATAAATGTTGATTAGATCCTGTTGGTTAATGGTGTTAAGTTCTACATCTAGACTGATTTTCTGTCTAGTTGTTTTACCATTTGTCAAAAGAGGGGTGTAATGTCTCCAACTATTATTGTAATTTGTTTTTCATTTCAGTTCTATTAATATTGTTGCTTCATGTGTTTTGCGGTCTTGTTTGATGCATACACATTTAAGATTGCTGTGTCTTCTTCATGGAGTGACCATTTTATCATTATATAATGCCCCTCTCTGTCTCTGGTAATTTTCTTTGCTTTGAAATATACTTTCTCTGATGTTGATATAGCCACTTGTGCCTCTTTGATAAATGTTTACACAATATGTCTTTTTTAGGTTTTTTAAATTTCAGCCTACCTATTCCATTACATTTGAAGTGAATCTCCTGTAGAAAGTATATAGTTGGATATTTTTAAATTCATTCTGCCATATCTATCTTCTAATTGGTGTATTTAGGTCAATTAAGACAGAGGCTTGGTGGTGGGGGGGGCAGTTTTTTTTTTTTTGTTTTTTTTGTTTTTTTTGTTTTTTTTTGCTGGTGTATAGAAACACAGTTGATTTTCATGTGTTGATCTGCAATTTTTCTGACTTCATTTTTAAACTCTAGTAGTTGTCTTGTGGATTCTCTGGGATTTTTGATACATAGGATCATGTCATAAGAAAACAAAGATAGTTTTACTTTGTTCCAACTTAGGTTCTTTTTATTTCTTTTCATGTCTAATTGCTCTGGCTAGAACTAATAGCACAATGTTGAATGACAGCAGTGAAAGTGGGAATTCTTGTTTTATTTTTATCTTAGGTGAAAAGCTTTCAGTCTTAT